GGGGGGGGGGGGGATGACACTTATAAGTTGCTGTTGATAATAAGTGTTGACGTCATCGTTTAAATATATTTGTTACATTCAACGTGCAGAAAGAGCATCAGACACGATGTATGTATATCTTCCCCCTAATCCTTAAAAACTATGCCACTGTTCAAATGAATCAATGAATAAAGCAGGTTTCAACAGTATCTGAGTCTTTTTTTTTTCAGTTTTACCCTCAGATACATCATTATTTTTTGATCTGACTGAAATAATCAGCTGCTGTCTAAAAAGGCCTCCCCAGCCCTGCGTGAGGACTCTGAGGGCCACGACGTGAACAAAGCAGATGACTCGACCCTCACCGTGCTCCGAATCAGTCGCTCTCGGCTCACTGTCTGAATTGCCTCTGCTGATTTAAGAGGTCCGTCACTTTCACTTGTTTTTTTTTCTTCTGCTTTTGTTGCTCGCCCTGTCATTCTCCCTTTTGCTGCTTCTTGTGCATTCCCTCCGAGCCAAGCTCTGAACCGCAGGTTCTGTTTATTTATGGTGCCCCCGAGGCTTGGTATTGATTCTCTGTGTGCTCGCTTCAGGCTGATAAAAAATGATGGTCTCAGGTAGGGGTCAAAACAAAACCCAACCCTAGAAAACTGCATTCAAGTCCACCCCCAATAAAATGTTCCCTTTGGATTTAGTAGGTTGTTTTGAGGAGAATCGTCACTCCACTTTAAATCTCCTCTGCTTCTGTTTTTACTTCCCTCTAATATCCAATGTTCACCTTCAATCTGAGGTTAAGACACATGCTGCAGTTAAATTAAAGCAATTAAGGCCCCTGGAGAGGGAAAAAAAAACTTTTTTGACTTCAGTGATGTAGTTCTCGAAGAAATAAAGTATCTACAATTTTTTTGAAAGCATGTGTAACAGAGCTTCCCGTACGTTAAACACGATGTAATGTACGTTTGTTCTGCTGTGATTAGTAGACTCAGAACAGGGTCAGACGAGCGGCTTCCGATGTTATCAGCCCAATAAATGACCGTTATTAGTTGTTATCATCCCCATAGCGGTCAAACTGTCCCACCTACCTCCTAGTAGGTTTAAAAGTACATTATTATTGTTAATATTGCGGATAATAGGCAGCGTCACATGGGGGTAAACCAGGAAGTGTCTTTTTTGTGTTTTTTCCAGCTTATGTAATCCTTTTCCTAAACGTAAGCTTACACCTGACCCAGAGGACCAACCCTAAACTTAACCCCCTTACCCTTGTGCCTAAACCTAACCGCCAGACCCTTTACTTTAAAACTAACCACGTGAAGCTATTATGAGCACTAACAAAAATAAAAACAGAGCCTATTATCATCGCTAACAACGTACCTTTAAACCCACTAGGAGGTACAGGAGGGGCTGTCTGACCGCTACATATGGAGATGATAACAACTAATAACGGCCATTTAATGGCTGATAACATCTGAAGCAGGTGGTCAAACAATAGAACACAGAGTTCCCTAATCACGTCTCTGAGCTTGACCTGATCTGATGGCAGCTGAATGTTCTGTGCAGCTTCACAGCCTCATGATGAAACTTCCACCGTGTTTTACTGCACACTGTAAACCACAACAGTAAAGTAGGAAAGTTTCTTTTGACTGTTCCCTTCTTCAGGGTTCACCACAGACAGAAAACTTGAACAAAAGATTTGGCTTCTTTTTTTTTTTTTTATGCCAGATACCCTTACTGACGCAACCCAGGCTCGAACCTGCAACCGAGATGCTGCAGCCCTGAAAATCACAACAGTACTCGATAATAATAAGTTAACATTTAAATATATATTTTTAAAAATCATTAAACATTTATAAAATATTCCATCCATCCATTATCTTTTACCTGCTTCTTCCTTTTCAGATCACGGGGGTCACTGGTGCCCATATCCAGCATTGAGAGAACATGCAAACCACCCAGAAAGGCCCACGGCCAGGATTTGATCCAGTAAACTCTCTGAGAGGTGGCAGCTTTAAAAACTGTGCCACCGTGCCGCCCTTATAAAATTATCAAAAAGAAAATGTAAAAAAGGCAACATATTTTCACAAATAAGCTGTTCTGTATGGGTTTTTTTTTTTCGCTTTTGTTTTGCAGAATGACCTCTGTTGTTTTTAATATTCTTAAATTTTTAGTGACATTTTTGATGACATTGAATAAATCTGTTAAACTGACTTCTTTGATCTGACTTGACTTAAATACAAAGTTGCAAACTGTCTTCGTTTTAGGTATAAAAATATCAGGTTGTGCTTTAATCACTAAACAATTCAAATTATTTTAAGGTTTAAAATTAATTTTACAACCAAACTCACTTGAATTATTGAATGCAAACCAAATAAAACGTAAACTGAGCTTTACGTTGTCTAAACTTAAGTGTAGCAATTATGAAAAAAAAACAACTCAAAGTCAAATTTGCTCTGCTGCAGGTCCGACGGAAACACTTTGTCTTGTTTAATGTTTGTTTCATGAGTTGTTCCAACTTTCACAGACTCTGAAGTTTCTTCATCCGTGTGGAAACATGCTGAGTTGGACGACTGTGAAACTTCTTGAAAAGATTACCGACTGTTGAAACTGGGATTTTAAGTCAAGGTTCTGTACGCAGGGTCCCAGTTACATCCAATAAAAGTATAAATTGTAAAAGAAAAACGGTAATAAGATCTAAGATATGAACTAAGAATACACTAAGTAATAGTATAGAAACAACACAAATACAATCAAAGTTCAGATGTTTCTTTTTTACTCCCGACAGGTTAATTGGCAACCAAATATTAAAAATGTTGGTGTTTGTAATGAAATAGCTGATGTCTGCACACAGTTGTATGTGAGTGTGTGTGTGTTAAAAAACGAGTGATTGTGTTGCCTGTCTGTGTGGTTTAGATAACCTCTGCCCAATATTCACATAAAGTCCCCCCCCCCCTCCTTTCCCTCCAACAAAATCTACCATGCCAGTAAGTTCTCTTTGCTCTGGTAGCCCTTGACTCACATTAAACTGGGAGGGCTCCCAGCTCCATCTTCCTCCTAGCGTTGTCTAAAGTGTGCTCATCACAGTGCCACCATGCCTGCAGCAGACTTCAGTGGGAAATGGATCCTGGAAAGCGGTGACAGATTTGAGGATTACCTGAAAGCACTGAGTAAGAAACGTCATTAAACGCTGTTCTGATCATATCTATTATGTTTTGTAAGAATATTCTAGATGGTGCATCACAGTGGAAGAAGAGAAGTTGAACTTGTGACCAAATTGAAATGAATTCTAAACTTGTTCTTGGTCAAATATGGACCGGATGATCCCGTTTCATCGTTTCGTTCCAGATATTGACTTCGCTACAAGGAAAATTGCCATCTCCCTGTCCCAGACCAAGGTGGTTGCTCAAGACGGAGACCAGTTTGTCTTCAAAACGCTCAGCACTTTCAGGAATTACGAGCTGGCCTTCACCGTTGGAGTGGAGTTTGACGAGCACACGAAGGGACTGGACAACAGACGTGTCAAGGTTAGTTTCTCATCTACGGAGCTCATTTCTGACTAGAGGAAGCTGAAAAGTAGCATCTGCTCTCTGACGAGGAAAAACTCAGTAACTTTAAACGGGAATGTTTTAGCAGTAATACACTTGGTCTACAACAAAAACATATGAATGATGAAGAGTCTTTAAGGAACATCAATAACTGAACTCGTTGCTACATCGATGTTTGATTGAATTTGAATCAGGCAACACCTAAACTTTTCACTTTTGTTTGAAAATTATTTATCTTTTTGCAGATTTGCTCAGTATTATTATTATTATTATTATTATTATCCTGCAACATTTCTTGATCTTTTATCAAACTTCTGTAAGCGGTCTTGTGTCAGGCAGTATTTTGGTCTATTCTCGTGTATTCATAGCGCTATGTCATCTTTAAAATGCTTTAGACCCAGATAACCTTGAATAACCCCTATCTTGCCTCAGTGCCGCTCTGCCAGGGTTAAACATGCTCTGCTGTATTCTTGGAAAGGTTCAGGTCAAGTGATGGACACCATCTGATGTGGAAAAAAGACTCATAACTTGTGGTACCTCACAAACTTATATTTTCTTAACATTATCTATATCCTGTTAAATTTGTTGTGGTTTAATTTAACACTTTTGTGTCAACGTTGTTCAACGGTTCAAGTTGTGTAACGTCCTGACCAAATGACATAAACTCTGATTTCTGCTGATAAGCTCTGTGCCAAGAATAGACGTGTTTGTCTTTCAGAGCAGTATTGTGTAATTCATAAACTGTGAATAAAGTCACTTTAGAACAGCCCTGTGCATGAATCATTCTGTGTAACATCATTCCCTGACATGATGTGTGTAACAATTGTTAACCACGCTTCCTGTATCTTTGTGTTTTCTGGAATACTCGCCCACCTCGTCAGGACTGGTGGTCCTTACGGAGACCAAAGTCTTAAAACAGCAAAACGTCATTTTAAGTTGGAAGTTAGGTTTATGGCTAAGGGATCGATGATGTGAGTTTAGGTTAGGGTTAGTTAAGATGGTTTAAGGTGAGACTCAGTGTGAGGTATATTTTTTCACTCTGGTTTCCAGATTTTTCAGCTTCTGACCCACTAATTGTGTGAACGCGTATCATTCATTTTGCTTCTGTAAGTTTTTCAGCATCTTTTTCGTTCCACAATTTTTGTGCTATTTCAACAAGCCACATATCAAAACGTTCAGCTCGTTCAGGAGAAGGGTGCTATGACTTTTGGTATTGATGCAACTTCAGCTTTTTTAAATATTTAGCTTTTTTTTGCCACTTTTTTATTCTCAGAAAATGAATTGAGCTCATTTTAAGTTAAATCTTTAGATCTGTTTACAACCTTTTACTGCTCCTTTCACATTTTGTTCTGGTTCAGTTTCTTTCAGCTTTCTTGTATAAATTTAAACATTTTTTTCAGCTACTTTCAGGTGATTTTTTGGCTGTTTTGTGCTCCTTTCACATTCTTTCTGCTAACTACAACATTTTGTGGTTCTTCTAACTTCTTTCTGCTAATTTCAGCTCATTTCAGCTCATTTCTGCAAGTTTCAGCTTTTTCAGCTAATTTTGCACTCATTCAGCCTAATTCAGCAAAAATTTGATTATTTAAGCTTCTTTCTGCTTTTTAAGCTACTTGTCAGCTGATTTAGCTTATTTCAGCCTTGTCCAGATAATTTCCACTATTTTGTGCTAATTTCTGCATTTTTCACCAACTTCTTTAGGCTAATTTCAGCTTGTTATGCTTTTTTTCTGCTAGGTTCAGCTTTTTCTACTCTTTCAGCTAATATTTAGCTCTTTTGATGCTGTTTTTAGCTTTCTCAGATAATTCCTTTTTTTTTTTTTTTTTTTTGCAAATTTCAGCTCATTCTGCTTCATTCTAGTAGTTTAACTCATTCAACCTTTATCCCTCGGGGACTCATTTACATTAAGCTTCTTTCAGACATTTCAGCTATCAGCTACATTTTTTGCTGATTTCAGCTGTTTTTTAGCTAATTTCCAAATTTTGTGCTCACTTCTGTTCGTTTAAACCTAATTCAGCAAATATGTGTCCCTTCTACTTTCTTCTGCTAAATTTGGCTTATTCTTCCATTTCAGCTCCATTTCAGCTGTTTTTCAACAAGTTCTTCTGCGATAAGCATTCATACTGCATTTTCGCAAGAAATGCAATTTGTCTAGCTAACAGTGAAAGAGACTTGTGGCCCCCAACTATCGCTGGTTAAAGGATATAAAGATGGCTAAGAAGCAAATTAAACAAGATCATAATGACAGAACAAACAGCTTCAGAAATAATACCTGATTTTATTATTTATTTAAAACTACGGTTGCATTGAGTTTCTGTTTTGGAGCCCGTACTTTTAATTATGTCTTACTAAATTAGTTTAAGAATATTTACTTATATAGTTTTAATGTTGCAACCCTAAATATAAACTAATATGACAACATTTTGAGGTTTTTGACTCTGAAGCAATGTGGCTCAGTTGTGTAGTCACTCCTCTACAAGATGCCAAAACTGTACAAGTCAGAAATTGTGAATGTTGAGATATTTTAATTGTTTCACACAAAGAACAAACTTGTCTTGGACAGATTTGTTGTAGGCGTTTTTTTGTTTGTTTGTTTGTTTTCCCCATTGCTGTTTTTTTTAAAGCTGGCAACATCAACAATGTATGAGTGTGTAAAAAAGGCAATAGTCAAATACTTGATGTTACACAAGCTTAAGAAAGGTCAGTAACACCCAGATGGCATCTTCAGCCACTTAGAGTTGCAAAAAAGGCACACTTTTTGTACAAGTCTTTATAATACAACATGATTTAATAAATGTAACTTCATTTTAGTATTGATAAGTGTTCAGATTGAATCAACAGATACACTGTCAGTCTTCCCGTTCTGAGATTTTACACTGATTTGTAAAATTACACATAAAGGAAGAGCAAATGTGACACTAACTTCCGTTTTTATTGCTAATTCTGCTAACACAGTTATCTAGTTAGAGTATGAGTGCTAAAGAAGTTTGGAAAGCTTGTGTGTTAGCTCCTAATCAGGATATTCTGCCAGAAAAAGTGTTAATATATCTGTTGTTCTGTAGAGTTTGGTCAGGTGGGATGGCGACAAGCTGGTGTGCACCCAGCAAGGTGAAAAATCAAACCGAGGCTGGAAACACTGGATCGAAGGAGACAAACTCTACCTGGTGGGTAGACACTTGCTAATTTATTATGATTGGAGGTTTTATTGTGATGATAATCATCATATCCTGTTGTTCAGGTGGTCTTTCTGCTGAATAACATTAAATTATGTGTTTCACAGGAGCTGACATGTGAAGATGTAGTTTGTCTCCAAGTGTTCAAGAGAAAAGATTAACGTCTGAGTTTAATAAAAGTTTGATGCTAAAGACACTATACATGTTTGTTGTTGTTTTTTTAAATAAAAAAAGGTGCAAATATTATCTACTGTGGTGTATTTAAAATACACACATTTGTATTTAATGAAGCATTATTAATGTTTTTTTTTTTTAGGATTTGAGAAAATGTCTCATCACTGAGATGACACACACTTTTATAATGTTTTTTACTGTTAAACCAGTGTTTGCATTTCCATCTGCTGGACACCTCTGGCTGTCTGTGAACCTTGTGACTGACTGGCAGCCTGCAGCAGAGTCTCAGCTGAGAATCCAGTCCAACCTGAACGTGACAAAAAGGATGTAGCTTCGGCTGATTTACCTGTCTTATACGGTTAAAGACTGATTGTATGACTCCAACTAGCATAATTAAAGAAAACCCAAACTTGTGTGCATTATTCTACACTGGCAACACAAAATTCTTGTTAAGACTATGCAGCAAGCTTTAAACCTATTTTATAAATTGAATAGCAGCTTATTTTAGTATGGTAATTTTCATTTCTGTGCTTCTCAATTACTCAGTAGATGAATACTGCACTTATATTGTAAAATTATATCTCTTTTTAATTTATCTTGATATCATCAAGCACAGAAACACACAAATGGGAAGCAAATACATTCAATATCTTTCCAGTATTTTATTCCTGACAATGTCAGATAAACACAAACATGCTGAAGGCATAAATTAAGTTGTCTTTAGAGTCAAATAACTATTTGGTAATAACTCTATGTGTTAGAAGTGTGCCGTTCCACAAGAAATATTAAAATGAACCTTGCTGATATGCTACTGTAGTGTGATCTGATCCGTGTGATCGGATTAAATAAAGGTTAATAAATAAAATTCTAACAAAAACAATGTAACAAATCAAATGATTGTGGACATTTTGATAAATTAAAACGATCTTCAAATATGCTCATTAGAATTGCTTTTGTCCACACTCATTTATTATTGCAGCGTGAATGTGAGACTGGATAACCTTTAGATCGGTTGTGTAAACTTTTAAGCATATTACAGACAACTAAACTATTATATTTTGCATTCAGAAATGTTTTTATACCACAAGATGTTTCCATTTGGCTTTAAAAAGGACAATCTTGCAACAAGTCTCAGTAAGAGCATTTGTTTGCCAATAAATCATATTTTCTTCATTTCTTCAGATAGTGTTAAGTTATTTTTATATACAGTTCTGTTCAGTGCCCTGAGATTACCTCTGTTGTTATTTGGCACTATATAAATAAACTGAATTGCATTTCAAACCAACCTAAAGCACCAGAGAATGTATTGATCACATATGAAGTAGCTTTTTTAACGTTTATTCTTCAGAAAAAATGGGCTGTATGACAGCTGACACACTTCATTATAGAGACCTGGCCAATAAAAACAGGCAGAAATCCTGTTGTATGTCTTTTTAAAACCCATATGTCCTGCCCACTGCCCAGGAAACACCATGAACCAACTTTAGCACTTGTCCCCTCAGACTTTGAGATACCGGCAGTTTTTCAGATCCTATTTTCCCACACTGACAATAAAACAACCCATCTCTAAGGATATAACACTCCCCATCAGGGTGTTTAATGATTTCTCCCTCTGTGTTGGAAATGCTTGATCAAAAGGACCTCTTGAAATTAACTTGTGAACCCACAATGTCCCCATCAAGATCTGGCAACACCAGCGATGTTTAACTGTGCCAGAGCCCTGTAAAGAGCAAGAGCCTCTTTACAGGGCTCTGGTTACCACATACACTGGCTTACAAGACTGGATCAGTTCTGTTAAAACTGGAATATCCTGACCCAAAATAACTTTATGAGCAAGATCTAAAAAAGTATTATTAAGATTATTGAGCATGCATCAGGATATTTTATGAGCAAGACCTTCCACTAAGTTTGATTGGTATATGTGTGTATGTGCATGTAAGTTATTAACCTTGTAAAATAATAGTCTTGCACCGTTTTTTCCGTGTTGCAACTCTGAATCACTTACTTATGTCCATGTAAACAGGCATCTTCTATCTATCGTTTCACTTTTGCCACGTTCATAATGGCAACGACATCTACGTACGATTCAGTCTGTATTCATACAAGAACTCCAGATGTTAAAACTTTCATTGGACATTGCTAAAAAACCACATGCAAAAAATCTCTCTGATCACCTCACTCAGATAATATAGCCCTCTGACAAATTATTTTAGTAATTAGTAGAATGTAAGATATATAGTTCTGTGTTTTTTTAAATTTACTTGTACCTTATTATGTGCAATCTCTTTGATAGTAATATTACCTAAATTTAATTTTATGATGGTTGTTATGATAATTTAAGAATATGTTGAATTTAGGAGGTATGACAGTAGATATTTTTACATGTTATATGTAACATTGGAATCTGAGATTGTCATTTATTCTGTTAGTGTGTTCACTTGTTATGTATGTTCAATTCTTCAATAAAAAAAAATAAATCTACGTACGACTCAGCTGTCAATGAGGCCTCTGCGTATATATTTCGATGTCTTCATCACTCACAGATTATACAGGCAAATGTCTTAAATTAGCATTCTGGATATTCAAAATGTAGTTGTTCTTAGTCAAAACTCATTTTTAGATCTAGAATGCAACTACAGACTGACTAATCGATTTTATGTTAAAACGTATTGCCATAAAACACAATTCCTTGTGTCACGTCATCTTTCCAGAATCCAGAATCCAAATCTCGCGAGACTTTGTTTCAGGAAGTTCCACGTCAGTTCCACGGCTCATTCGCCAACATTCAGACCCCGACAAAACTGTTCACTGAGCATTCATTGCATCTTCTTGTGACAAAACGGGGATAAAAACATGGTAAGTGACATTTTAGGTATTTGTTAGAAAATTTAGATTCGATATATGTCAACTAAGACTACTGCTTATTTTTATTAAAATGGGGAGATCTAGTCAAATACAGCTTAGCGGCTAACTAGCTTGAGTTGGCACGAGAGCTTATACGCAAACACAATTGATCACTGAGGGCTTTTTTAGGTTTTTATGTTTCATATCTAATTCTGAGTTATCTTCAGATTTATTTGTAAGATGCATGGACGTTAAATTCCAGGAATTGCATAGAAATCCACAAGGTTCGTCGTGGTTTGGTGTTCGTGTTTTCGGACATTTTTGTTAACGTTCTTAACAAATAGTGTACAATAGTTAACTGTATGGCGACACTTTGACTTACAAATCAATGACAACATAATTATCTTGTTTTGCTTCTTAAGCCTTTGAGGCTGGACATTAAACGGAGGCTAACAGCCAGGTCGGACCGGGTAAAGAGTGTGGACCTTCACCCAACCGAGCCATGGATGTTGGCCAGTCTCTACAACGGCAGCGTCTGCGTGTGGAACCACGAAACGCAGGTAAGAAGACTGAAACACCTTTAAAAGAGGCACCACCAAGCAGCTGAATATGTGACAGGCGCATGAGAGATCTTAATGTTGCAGACTGTTACAAAGTCAACTTTATTTATAAAGTACATTTACAACAGCAGCTGTTATCAAAGTGCTTAACACTAATCACCAATAATCAGTGGGAGTAATTTTATGGAAAAAACACAACTAAATATGATGGTACTGAAAATTAATTGCAAGCATCAAAAGAAACGCAGAGCAATAAAATACTAAATAGTCACGCTGTGTAAAAAGCCAGAGAAAATAGATAGAGTTTTTAGCAGATATTTGAAAGCAGCGAGTGAAGTGGCCTGCCTAAGTTTGGGTGGGGGGTGGCAGATTGTTCCAAAGTTTGGGCCCCATGACTGAAAAAGCCCGATCACCTCTAAGTTTCAATATTGTTTTTGGAAAAGCCAAAAGCAGCTGATCAGATGGTCTCAAGGCCTGAGTAGGAACTTATGGTTGCAGTAGCTCAGAGAGACATGAGAGTGCAAGGCCGTTTAGGCACTTAAAGTTTAGCAGGAGAATTTTAAAACCAGAATCTGGTATGCACAGGGAGCCAGTGAAGGGAGGACAGAACTGGTGTAATATGACCAAACCTACAAGTTCCAGTTAGGAACCGAGCAGTGTCATTTTGGACAAGCTGGAAACATAAAATGGAGACCTGACTGGCCTCAACAGAGAGTGCATTACAATAGTCCAATTGGGTATTAATAATGGCATGGACTAGTTTTTCAAGGTCAGGTATGGTCAACACTGACTTAAGCTTAGCTCTGCTGTAACTGGAAGAAATTTTGTGCAGAACAGAGTTAATTTGTTTATTAAACTTAAAGTCAGAGTCTAAAACCATCCCAAGAATTGTTAGACTGCTTCAGATATGGCTGAAGAAAGTCAAGGTTTACAGGATCAGAGACATCGATAGAGCTAGGGCTTAACACAATAACTTCAATCTTCTGATCATTAAAACTTAAAAAAAATTGAAGCCATTCATTCTTTGATGTCATCAAAACATTTTAACAGAGGGTGAATGGAGCAAGAACTGTTAGGTTTTAAGGGCAGATAAATCTGACAATCATCAGCATAACAATGAAATGAAGGACCATATTTTGTTATATTCTGTCATATTCAAAGACGCTGTTCTGGTTTTTCAGACTCTGGTCAAGACTTTTGAGGTGTGTGACCTGCCTGTCAGAGCTTCCAAATTTGTGGCAAGGAAGAACTGGGTCATCACAGGAGCAGTGAGTAACTTTTGCATTGTGCTTACAGTTATGAAAGTTGGTTTTCCATAACACTAGTGGCTTTGCAAACTTCTGGCACAATAATGAGTATAAACATAAACCTGTTTTATTTGACATGATTTATAAGTGTTTAAATATTTGCAACAAAAATCGCAACACTGAGCACATAGGCCATATATTGAATTACATGATTATTCCTAATTTGATCTTTTTGTTCAGGATGACATGCAGATCCGCGTGTTCAACTACAACACCTTGGAGCGGGTCCACATGTTTGAGGCCCACTCTGACTACATCCGTTGCATTGCTGTTCATCCAACACAGCCATACATCCTGACCAGCAGTGGTATGTTAGAAGCTGTGTCTTACTAACTTTTTAACACCTTTTTAACTGTGTCTTAACATAAGTTTTGCATGGTTTTGTGTGCATTAATGTGTATGTGCAGATGACATGCTGATCAAGCTGTGGGACTGGGAGAAGAAGTGGTCTTGTAGTCAGGTGTTTGAGGGTCATACTCATTACGTTATGCAGATTGTCATCAACCCGAAGGACAACAATCAGTTTGCCAGCGCCTCTCTGGACAGAACAATTAAGGTAGATTACTAATTTGAGATTTTTGTGAATCATTTAGATATGATTTGTTTTGAACTGCTGTATGTAAGAAAACATCTTTTTATATTTGTGGTGGAAACTTATGATGGTACCTTATGGTTGGATGTGATGAGTATGGTACTCAGATCTCAATATATTTCAGGGAAACATTAATTTATTCTTTGTCATTTTGTGGGGATTCATAGGTCTGGCAGCTGGGGTCTTCATCTCCCAATTTCACTTTGGAGGGTCATGAGAAAGGAGTAAACTGTATTGACTATTACAGCGGAGGAGACAAGCCGTACCTGATATCAGGAGCTGATGACCGCCAAGTCAAGATCTGGGACTACCAGGTTAGAAAACAACTAGGTCATTTGTTTGTGCCATCATTTAAATATCATTTAGAACACTTCACTCTGTTTGTATTTTGACTGCTAAAATGTGTTAAAATATATTTTTGTGCTTTCTCTTAACATTTTATCTTCACAAATGTTTTTTCCTGTGTTTTAGAACAAGACCTGTGTTCAGACTCTGGAGGGTCATGCTCAGAATGTCTCTTGTGTCAGCTTCCACCCAGAGCTGCCCATAATCATCACAGGATCAGAGGATGGTGAGCAGAAGTCTCACTCATCCTTAAACACAAATGCTTTCGTTCACTTGTAAGTTGCATTATTTTATTTTTTTTCTGTAGGTACTGTGCGAATTTGGCACTCAAGCACGTACCGGCTGGAAAGCACACTGAACTATGGGATGGAACGAGTGTGGTGCGTGTGTGGCCTGAGGGGCTCCAACAACGTGGCGCTGGGATACGATGAAGGCAGCATCATTATCAAAGTGGGTGAAAAGAAAAGTTAAAATATTTAAAAGTCAAAATGATGCATTCTAAACAAATGTTATAACATTTTGCAGTGTACACATTTATAGCTAAGTTTGTACTTGAAACTTCTGCAGAACAAATGGATGCAAAGTTTTCTGTACAGCACTAAAAAAAAACTTTACAGAAAACTTTTTGACAAGCGTTCAGAATACTGAAGATTAAATTCTCTATGAATTAGAATATTTGAATAGTTTTCATACTCCTTTCATTTATTTTGTTCTCCTCTGACATATAGGTTGGTCGGGAGGAGCCAGCCATGTCTATGGACACCAATGGCAAAATCATCTGGGCTAAACATAGTGAAATACAGCAGGCCAACCTGAAGGCCATGGGTGACACTGAAATCAAAGATGGAGAGAGACTTCCTCTGGCTGTTAAAGATATGGGCAGTTGTGAAATTTACCCTCAAACCATCCAGCATAACCCTAATGGAAGGTAAACACACTCACTGACTCTTTTTGCGGTTAAAACATCCTCAGGCTCTAAGATCTTCTCAAAATCTTGTCCCTGGTGGTCAGCATTATGCAGAACTTTGGATCAAATTTTATCCAAATTTGTGTGTTGTAGGTTTGTCGTGGTGTGTGGAGACGGCGAGTATATCATCTATACCGCCATGGCTTTGAGGAACAAGAGCTTCGGCTCAGCTCAAGAGTTTGTCTGGGCACACGACTCCTCTGAGTAAGTGTACACACAGTTTGAAGCGTATCTCAAGATGCGTTGCTGCACTTAAAATGTTAAGAGTCCTCCTGAAACTATTACTAATAAAGCAATGGGATAATATTTGATTTTGACCATTTCTTCCCAACAGATATGCCATCAGAGAAAGCAACAGTGTTGTCAAAATTTTCAAGAACTTCAAAGAAAAGAAGTCCTTTAAGCCCGACTTTGGAGCAGAAGGTAATTGGGGCATTGTTGCTGGTTAGAGTTGTAGTTTTGAAAGCAGATTGAACATAAATGTATTTACTGACTGTGTTGGCATTTCTGCTCTGCAGGGATCTACGGGGGCTTTTTGCTTGGGGTGAGATCAGTGAACGGTCTTGCATTTTATGACTGGGAGAACACCGAATTAATCCGTCGCATTGAGATTCAACCCAAGCATGTAAGACAGCTATGTTGTCAGTTTTGTCTTTCCACTTTGTATATTTATTTTCAGTAACAATTTATATTTTGATTACTTATTAAGACTGCCTGAGGCTTTTTGTACAGTATATTTTTTTGTAAGTTAAGTTTCATTCATCTCCTTTTTACGTTTTGTGCAGATCTTTTGGTCAGACTCTGGCGAGTTGGTCTGCATTGCAACAGAGGAGTCCTTCTTCATTCTACGTTACATGGCAGATAAAGTGGCTGCCTCCCAAGAGAACAATGAAGGCGTGACAGAGGATGGGATTGAAGATGCCTTTGAGGTCAGTAAGTGGGTGAATGCACTTTGTTGGAAACATTGTTACTGTCAGTCCTAAAACCACTTGAGCTACATTTGATAGCTGCATTGTGGTCCAAGTTCAACCCAAGAATTCAAAATACAGTTATTTGCCAAATATTTTTAAGTTGGCATTACATTTTTAGTACAAATGTGTTTTTTATATACAAACATTTTACTCCCTTACCTTGTCATTTCCATCTGTTCAGGTCCAGGGAGAGATCCAGGAGATCGTGAAGACTGGACTTTGGGTTGGAGACTGCTTCATCTACACCAGCTCTGTAAACAGACTCAATTACTATGTAGGAGGAGAGATTGTGACTATTGCACATCTGGACAGGTAAGACCTGATTGCTTAGGTTTGACTTTATGAAATCTGCCTAAAAAAAAAGGCATTTAATATCTGAGTAAAGCAAATCTAAACCATTATTTTGGCTGCACACTGATCAACAGCTGGTGCTTTCTCTTGCAGAACCATGTACCTGCTTGGTTACATACCCAAAGATGACCGTCTGTACCTCGGAGACAAGGAGCTCAACATAGTTAGTTATTCCCTGCTGGTCTCTGTCCTGGAGTACCAGACTGCTGTAATGAGAAGGGATTTCGGAATGGCAGACAAGGTGCTTCCAACTATCCCTAAAGAACAGAGGACCAGGGTGGCACATTTCCTAGAGAAGCAGGTAAGAAAAACAAAATGGTTATGACTTATTTTTTTGTACCCTCTTGGTAATTCTAATTTGTTTCAAACACATTAAAAAGACTGAGACAAGGACTTCTTCGTAGAATTAGCTAGTTTCTAATTTTTAGCCTGAAAAGTACTAGTAGTGGAATGTTTTCTTTAGGTTGATCGTCTTGATTTGTTTCTCTTCAGGGCTTCAAGCAGCAGGCCCTAGCAGTGTCTACAGATCCTGAACACAGGTTTGAGTTGGCCTTGCAGCTGGGAGAGCTGAAGATTGCCTACCAGCTGGCTGTGGAAGCAGAGGTTAGAACTGTCATCTATGATCATTAGTTAGTCCACCTTAAGGCATTTTCAGACAGTTCCCATATTTGCAACTTATCACTGCTCAACCGCATTCCTAATATTCGTTACTCTGACCTCTGCAGTCGGAGCAGAAATGGAAGCAGCTAGCAGAGCTGGCTATCAGTAAGTGCCAGTTTGGCCTGGCCCAGGAGTGCCTGCACCACGCTCAGGATTATGGTGGCCTGCTCCTCCTCGCCACGGCTTCTGGAAACGCCACCATGGTGGGCAAGCTGGCTGAAGGTGCAGAGAGAGACGGCAAAAACAATGTGGCCTTTATGACATACTTCCTTCAGGGAAAGTGAGTGTTGGATGTGTGAGATATTCAGAAACACCATTTGTTCTTCTCTTACAATAAAAAAAGTGTATATCAATGTAATGTCTTCTCTCCAGACTGGATCAGTGTTTGGAGCTTCTAATCAAGACTAACAGACTACCTGAAGCTGCTTTCCTGGCTCGCACGTACCTGCCTAGTCAGGTGTCTCGTGTGGTTAAATTATGGAGGGAGAGTTTAGCCAAAGTCAACCAGAAGGTTCGATGAATTATTATTGAATTTCTTTTAATGGAAACCTCTGGTTTTGCTTTTATAAAAAGAAGAGATTTTAAATTTGAGGTTGTTCTTCATCCTTGCAGGCTGCAGAATCTTTAGCAGACCCCACCGAGTATGAAAATCTGTTTCCTGGCCTGAAAGAGGCGTTCGCAGCTGAACATTACCTGAGAGAGAGCTGCTTGGGCAGCTCCAGACCTGCTACAGATTATCCACTTGTTACTGTAAGGCTTGTCATTGTGCTCAGAAATGGCAGTTTTACATCATGAATACTAATCACTTCACGTTCAGCTCTGAATACCATAACGATGATTATATATTTGTTTTATTTCACATTCTCAGCCCAATGAAGACAGAAATATTCTTGAGGAGGCTCAGGGGTATGAGCCTAAAGGCATTTTCGTTCCGCTCGTCTCCAAGGTTAGTCTGCAGTACCATTTTTGTCTCTGATGGCTGCCCTAAAATGTCTTACAGTGTCATTATTTTCAAGTATTTGATCTTGCAGAAGGTTGGCTTAGAGTTGCATGTTATGTAAGTTTCAAACTTTTCTCATTCATCTCACTTTTCTTTACAGACAGAAGAAAGTGAAGACTCTCCCTCAGTCCCAGTGTCTCCTCTGATGCCTCCACAACCTGAACCTGCTGCTCCTAAAACAGAGGAGGAGGAGGAGGAGGAGGAGGAGGAGGAGGAAGAAACATTCTCAGACACACAGAAAGATAAGGTTTGTCTTTTTTATTTTGTATTATAGTTGCATGACTCAAAAGAAACCGATAAAAATCGCATAAGTGGGAAATACCTGAGAATAGCGTTTCTTCTTTATGCGTATTTCTGCAGATTCTGGATGAGCTGGAGATTGACCTGGACAACATGGAGCTCGGTGACATCGACACCACAGACGTTAACCTCGACGATGAATTTCTAGATGATTAAATCTGCCACCATTCTGCTCTCCAGCTCTCTTTGGAGCATATTTAAATGAAAGAGACCAATTCCTTTCACTTTATTTTGTATTTGTATTGAAAAAAAAAAGTTTTATTGTCTTATTGTATACTCATCAAAAGATTCACTAGAAACAGTTCTGTCGTTTAACTCTCAAAACAGGTCGAAATACTGTTTGCCTAATTTTGTACACAGTTTATCAAATGAGAATTGCTGAATATGTCCAGCAGTTATTTCTTTGGTCTCTATGCTTTGTTTGTAACAGCAAATCAAAGTTCATTCAGTCCAATAAATTCTGGTTGCTTGCTGTACATATTATTTGACTTTAAGAGGCTCTTTGCTTGACTTCTCATGTAATAAATAATAAAAAAACACAAAGTTAGCTTTACGGAGTTCTTACAGTCTCAAAGTATAACATGTTCTGAGTATTTTCCGGATTTTGAAAAGTATTGGGAAAAGAAAAGACTCCCAACTTGTTTCCAGACTTAATTCCTTGTCTAACGATGAAAAGTCAGATTTTCCAACTCCTTTTTAGGTTAATTATGCACTTTTGAAATTTGTTTCTTTTGGAAGGAAAACAAATGTGGAAATTGGTAGTCATTGGTGTTTTGATTCTTCCAATATGCAAAACAAAACGTGTGTGTGTGTGATATGCACCTAGAAATAATTTGCCCCATGTCGCACACTAGTATACACCACTTTTTCTGTTTTACTCTGAATAAACAGTTTTTCAAAAAGTAAACCTTTAATTTTAACACTAAGATTAAGTTTTACACCATTTTTTTCACTCAGTCATAAATGTTATTCCCTGCTATTTCATCTTTTGTGTAGTCTGTTTACATTAAATAAGCCAAATTAGAGGATCAGTTACAAGATGACTAATGAAATTTGTATATTCATTGCATTTCCTGTTTAAAGATTCATCTCAGTTTCTCTACTGCAAATACACCAGTTTACTCTGGGTACAAAAAAAGAAGTGACAATATAAATTCAAATGTATGATTAATTTTCTTTGTGGTATTACTGAGATTACAGCAATGCAGACAGCATCTATTGAGTTTAGATTCATCACTTCCTGAATTCTAACATTTTGAAGGCACCCTTTCCTGACTAACTGATTCTAGGTGAAAAGTTTTTTAATATAACTAAAAACAAGCTGCAGGCAGTGAAATCAGAATCAAATAATCCTCATTTTTAATTTTATTCAACCTGGCAGTCTGTGCCCATTTGCCTGCAGTTCTCCTCCTGTCCTGTAGATGGCGATCTTCCGAGACAGGGTTGGAATTTTTTTTTTTTTTTCTGTTTCGTGTTCAACAAAGTGCCGTGGTTGGCAGTTACCAAGAAGAAAACCAACCCATCCGAGAATGTTTATTTTGCTACATTTTTACACTCCTTTTCACTTTTTTAAGGCTTCTGTGGTAAATTAAAAGTTGCACATAAACGGAGTCAAAGGTGATTCAGTTATCGGACGGTGCCCCGGGACGCTTTGCGGAGGGGCAAGTTTTTTCTCCTTCAGTAGAAAGGCAGACGTTTCATCGAGCTGCTGCCATAAGGAAAAACAGAACCAGGACCAAGCAACGAGCTGGCGAGCCAGAAAGACCTGAAAGAACCACGGCACGGCCTATTCAGCACCACGGGGAGTCGGGGCCCGAGAGGGAGCCTGCCAGGCCCTTTGGCTTGATGCACCCAGCCTGCCTTACCTCAACAACCACAGTCCGAGATGGGGGAAACCAAAATTATCTACCACCTCGACGACCAGGAGACACCGTACCTTGTGAAGCTGGCTGTCCCGGCGGACAAAGTCACTCTCGCAGACTTCAAAAATGTCCTCAAGAAACCAAATTACAAATTCTTCTTTAAGTCTATGGACGATGATTTTGGGTAAATAAGAGTTATTGTGTGTCGCGTCAGGACGAGTTTTTCTAACCGTGCTAGCTTACATGTTACTACAGTCAGCTGTTTGCCATTATTATCATCACGGCTTTTTTCCTTCGTACATTAGCTAGTTGTTGATTATTAGCCAGCTTCCTTCTCTGCCGTTTCTTTGTTAGCTGCTAGCGACCAGCGGCTCTGTTTGTTTACATTGCTCCTGTGTAGCTAGCATATACGTCCTGTTTCTCGGATTTGTTTGACCATGTTTTGCCGTTGGTTAAGAGTCGTGTGCAGCAGACGATGACTTTTTAACTTTTAAAAGATGAAGTGAAGACAGTGGTATTTGACACACATGACTCTTAGTAGTTTTTGCTGTCATCTGCTGGCTAATGTATTGAAGCGTATGCTAACAGGCTGATGTATGGCTGGTCAGTTCAGGCTGAGAGCAGCAGGCCCTGCTGTTGTTGTCTATTAGCCCGAGGAATGTGGAGTTGGACACAGGAATGTCCTGTTCATCACTCTGGCAGCTTTATGTGCATGCCCTTTTGTGTTAAACATCATGGTCTGATGAGTAGTCTTTTATGTTCCTTTTAGACAACATTTTTTAGGAAGAAAAGTGAACTGTAGTGAGGTTTTTAACACTTGCTTTATAATATTTTCCTTCTGTTGCCTCTGATTAAACTCAAACTAGGGTGGGGCAGTAGTCTACCACTATTCTAATCAGTAGAAAACTATTGAAATATACATTAGGGCTCTTAATTGATTGGTTATGTGCCCATGTTTTCAATGAAACTCATAGAACTTGTATTTACTTCCTCTTAGATGCAAGTTTTTTAAGTGTTGAGCTGGAAACTTGTGCAAATATTAACTGAGGGCCATATGGGGCCCCTGGACGGTCTCTGTCTGACCTTCAGTGTGCTCAAAACTACACAGAACAACTTTAAAGTAAATCAACAGAAACAGTGTTTTATTTATAACTCTTCGTGCAAGAGAACAGGTTTTAAATGAAACATTCCAGGTGTCTAAAACTAAAGTTTTGAGGAAAAAAATGTGACTAGTTTATTTTTTTATTAGTATATTAGGGGTCAGTGTTTCTGGCCTTAATAACTTGGGCAAACATAGCCTCTTACTGTTTTCAAATTACATGTGATGTACCAATTGAGTATCCCTGTATTCAAGAGACAGAAACAGCTTTTGTCCAAGCCTTTTAACTACGCTGCAAAAGCTCCCAGTGTGTAACAGCATTGGGTTTCTCAGTCTCTGTTTTGGCTGATGGATGTACTTCCCATCTTACCACAATGTCTTCATGATTTATTGTCCACTTAATGTTTTTTGTATTGGTAACAGTTGGCTATAAGAAGCTTCTTTCTCTTTACAGGGTTGTAAAGGAAGAAATATCTGACGACAACGCTAAGCTGCCCTGTTTTAATGGACGTGTAGTGTCATGGGTAGGTTCAGACTACACGTTTGTGCCGGTTCACTGTTGTTTCATGATTATTGTGTAACAGTGATTTCCATCTCTTGGACACCGACCATGACCATGATCTCTAGGGAGCTGTCCCACTTTGTGCTATCATTATCAAGTTATGATCCTCTGAGCAACACGTGCATTGTTCTTTCCTGTAAATTGTTTTTCAATTATTTGAACTACATTTGGTGTAGCTTTTTAAAGCATTTAGCTGATGTTATCAAACAAGCTAGACAACATGTATATGTAAAAATCGTTTAAGGGTAGTTTTTAAAGAACAAAGATGTTCTTGTTTTAAAGAGCACAAAGACATCTGAAGCTATTGAAGAGCCTCCCTTGTCCTTTTCTTAAATTGGATTAAACACAAGTGAAATCACAGGATAGGAAGAAAATGTCCATTGAAAAGGTGATCACTTTTGAGTCACCTAACAAGAAGATTAAATCTCAGGGAGGAGAAAATAAAGTTCAGAGACTTGTACGTCTCAATGTAAAATCTTGATACATTTTGCTAATGCTTTGTTATGTGGTTGTAATTATAGGTTTTATCTGAGAGTCATCAGCCCTGTGTTATTGCGAGCTGCTTGGGTTATATCCATCACTCTGAGCCTGATGCTTGTCTCTGTTGTGGTAATATTCATTAGAGTCTTTGAAGTTTTGTTTGCTGGTTTAAAAGCACTTCATTTCTGGGTGTGAGTACTTTTATCTTATTGGGGTTGATGAGTTTTTCCACGTAGAGTGAAGAGTACGTCCTACCACATCCATTTGTTTATCTACAGTTCCTCATGTGTTGTTTCAGTGATCTGACTGATTGTCCTCTGGGGTCCAGTTATCTGATCTGCATCAGGCCAGGTCCTCAATGCAGCAGCACTGTCTCACTGACGGCTGACAAAAGTTTGCTTATCTAATTATTTGTTTACATCACGTCCGTGTGGTACTCGTCTGGACCTCACACACACATGCTGCTTGCTTCCACAACAACAAGAGACTTTATGTGGGATGCCAAAACTAATAGTAGCAGAAATAAACTAGACATAAAGATAAACAAAACAAGTGTTGTTGAACTCAACATTACAACTTTATTTGTTCAAATGATTCAGTTTGACATTCTTGCTATAAATTTACCTCTCTATTCTTATTAAATATGTTTGCTGTATTTTCAACACCACAGTTTTTTTTTTGTTTACATTCCACCTTTTTATGCATGACAATAGGACACTCACTATTTCGTATTTGAAGTGATTCATTCAGAGAGGGAGACAAAAATCCAGCTCCTCTCTCAAATCACAAACTGAATGACCTATAAAGTGCGTGTAATCACATTAATTCAGTTTCCAGCAGGCGTTGCATGTTTGTAGTAATTGTACTGAACATTACATACAAGCCTACACCTTTGTAATGTCAGCAGCACAGCAAGCTGATAAACTTTAAATCTTTGCACAAACTATTTGTTGCTCAACTCTTTGAATTAGCTGCTTACTCTGTCTTTGACCCATCAACGGGAACACCTTAGTATCTCGCATATTAGTTACAAAAGGAACGCGTCAACAGTGTTAGTGTATCACATGTGAATGCTGGGAAGCAATTATGTTGTGACCATAAAACAAGATTCAACACGCAGGCTTTGAATGTGCTGTTAACATAGAAGTTGTTTATTGTAAATCTATTTCCCACTTTGCTCTCTGACTTCGTACAACTTTTCATTTTTGCCTCGTGCCTCTGGTTGATATTTTTTTTGTCGACAGCTTGTCTCTGGAGATGGAGCTCACACGGACGCAGGCTCGGTCGCAGACAGCATAGAGCCAACTCCACCTTTGGAGAGGACCGGGGGCATTGGAGACTCGAGACCACCTTCCTACCAGTCAGTACTTTCAAAGAGGACTTGGTACTCTGTTGAGTTTTTAGTGTGTGAGTGAGATGGAGAGAAATCTGGTGCCTTCTGTTTCCCAATTATTCTGATTGGAGCCAAAAAGAAGCAAATGAAATAAAAAAAAAATCTGGTGATTGGCCACAAAATTCCATCTTATTACGAGACTGCTTTTGGTATTATGTTGTGTTCATTGGGACATTTCAAAAATAAGTTTCTGTAAGTGTTCTGGAGCAGAGGTATTGAGTGGATAGGTGATAGTCAGTACCTTAGTGCTCACCAATAAGCACGTCTTTAAAGCTTGCCAAATATTCTGCTTCATATTGCATCATCAGCAGCTTTAATACAAACTGCAGTCAAATTTTAACATGGTGGTTTTAAACTCAACCTTTGCTTTAATGGTTGTTAGACAAACTCAGCTGCTCTGACGATGGTTAAAGATAATCCTGTGCTGTTTTGTTTGAAGTGGGAAGGCAGCAGGCGGGCGGGACAGTTTGGACAATGACACAGAAACCGGTTCCATGGTGTCACAAAGGAGAGAGAGGGAGAGGGAGAGGCCGAGACGGAAGCACACAAACGATCACGGTCAGAGAGATGTGTGCCGTTTGTTTTTGAATTGTTGGATATTACCGGATTTATCGTTCTAATGTTTTTGTACATCTCACAGTTATAATGTTAATTTAAATGTGTTGGCACTTTTGCTTTTGCAATTGATGAACTTTAAACAAGTCGCCATGGGAACAACGCTAACAAATAAAAACTAATGTTCAGGTTTGTTTCCCAAGAGCTCGAATTTATGTTTCATTAGATAACCCTTTGATATTTATCAGTAAAGGACATGTTTGATCAGAAAAAAAAGTTGTTTTGATCTTTTAAATTTTCCCTAAATAAAGTTGAATCACATTAAAATATGAGGAGTGCATCTGGTAAACATCTGTTTTTACTCTAAATTTTGTAGTTTGTGTTTTTATCATTTTGAGTTAAAAAACTGAATTGTGGTAATAATAATTGTTTTATTTTACACAAACAGGTGGAAGACAGAACGGCTACTCTTTACGAGCGATGGGACGCGGAGGAGTCGAGTACGACAGCTGCTCGTCCTTCATGAGCAGCGAGCTGGAGTCTACTTCCTGCTTTGATTCAGAGGACGATGATGCAACCAGCAGGTCAGCCGTGCCGCCTCAGGAGTCAAAACTGAAATGGAGTTAATTGTTTACATCAGTGTACAGTGTAATAACAAAGTCCATGCTCAGTAATCCAGGTATACAGTGTAATGCACAGTGTAATGCACAGTGTAATGTTGTGGTGGTTTTTGTAGTAACCCCATCGTTCACCAATACCCATTTTAGAAATTGTAGTGATCTCAATATTTGGACAAATGACAAGTTGTCAGATGAACATTTCTACAAATATAATCTATCAGGTTTTACTTTTTTAAATTAAACAAATGTTTTCTTGGGTAAATCTTTATGATATCGGTTAAATACGTTTAATTTTAAGTATGTAGACTGAAAGTTTATTTTCATACAACTTACATGAGAATAAATATTGTAGTTCTGCTGCTTTACATAAAATTTGTCAGATTTTTAAATTGTTTTTTAATTGCCCCCCCCCCCTTCAGATGATGTGCTAAATATATACTAAAGAAGAAATATTTGAATTTTCTATCAGAATTTCTGTTTTATTGTTGCCTCTAGGTTCAGTAGCTCCACTGAACAAAGCTCCTCTAGACTAATGAGACGACACCGCCGTCGCCGACGGAAACCAAAAGCGTCCAACATGGACAGGGTGAGGCGCCGCACTGATGAATGTAAAGGGCAGCAGATCAGCTTGTTCGTTAAAACTGATTCTTTAAACCTCTCCTGCAGTCGTCGTCATTCAGCAGCATCACAGATTCCACCATGTCGCTTAACATCATCACTGTAACGCTCAATATGGGTAAGTCCCTAATTCCTTTAGGAAAATTATACAGAAAAGGATAAACAAGCAACTCTGTTTTTCCGAACAGACTTACAAATGTAACGTTTGGGTGCAAATTTATTTTACACAAACTGTATAGTTTTGTTAGATGCAGGTCAAGATCACATTTTGTATGTTTTGTTTTCTTCGCTTTAAAATGTACTTTTTTCCTTACCTCACAGAGAAGTACAACTTCCTGGGCATCAGTATTGTGGGTCAAAGTAATGAAAGGGGAGATGGGGGGATCTATATTGGGTCCATCATGAAGGGAGGAGCTGTGGCTGCAGATGGACGCATAGAACCTGGAGACATGCTCTTACAGGTGTGTTTTAAGTGAAGGCGCAGAAAGAGGAACACACAAAATTACAAAAGACTTTGGGCACATATGTTACAATTGTGTTTGCTTGTGTGGCATTACGTCTTTAGATTTTTACTCTGCATTTTTTTCACAGTCTTTTTCTGTTCCCTGCATGCACTCATTCCTGACTTGTTTTAGTTGCAGGTCATCATGCTGTAAAACTGTTTACATGGAAAAATCCTTTCTCAGAATTTTACACGTTACCCCTTGTTGAGACAGTCCCAGACCAATTAATGACCGTTCAGCAGGATTTATTGGCATAGCTGAGGAACGTGTAGAAAATTATTTATATAGTAGGCCCATTCCTCGTCTCACAGTGAATTATACGCTATTTAAAGCAAAAAGCACAAAGTCTGACATATTGTATAAGTTTATGGCTTTTTTTTTTTCCTCTCTTGTAGGTGAACGACATAAACTTTGAGAATATGAGTAATGACGACGCAGTCCGAGTACTACGGGACATCGTGCACAAACCAGGGTCAGCTGCAAATACAAGATAATTACATCCATAAAACCAAACTTAATAAAATGGGAACTGATGGTATTCTCAGTGTTTTAGTAACTCTGTGTTTATTACCAGCCCCATTACTCTGACTGTTGCAAAATGCTGGGACCCAAACCCCCGGAGCTGCTTTGCTCTGCCCCGGAGTGAGTAATTGCTTCTCTTTAATTTCAGTGAAAGTTTAGACGTGTTTTTGGGGCAAGAGACAGAGTCCCTTCATTGCCCCTAGTATATGCTGAGCGTGTGATTTAGAGGGGAAAAGCTCTATATATACATGTGTGATTGCATTGTAACGTAGTGTTTGTGTAAACGAGTGAAAGAACACCAGTATAAACATGGTTCTGGACCATTTATATTTTTGCAGCAGTCATCAACTGCTTCCCTTTTGTTGCATTCAACAGGTGAGCCTATCCGGCCCATTGACCCAGCTGCATGGGTTTCCCACACTGCTGCTATGACCGGAGTCTATCCTGCTTATGGCATGAGTCCTTCCATGAGCACCGTCACCTCCACCAGCTCCTCCATCAGCAGCTCGATCCCTGAAACTGAGCGTGAGTCCCATCACCACCACCTCCCCGCCTGTTGCGTCTTGTTCTCAAGACACTTTTATTCAGAACAACTGTCATCACTTTAATTTAGATTCCACATAATCCTCATAGTATGTGTCTTTTTTTTTTTAAAAGTTAGTGATTTGTATTGTTTATGTTTGTTCTTGACACAAAGAGTTTACTCTGAGTTTGTAAGTGTGGCCTCGCCCTGAAACTACATTCCTGCGACTGCTGTGTTCCAGTTTTGGGCCTCAAAACTTCCATCTGCTCCGTAACCCTCGCTCAAACCGAGTCATAACTCAGGTTTAATCTTCGCTGTGATCTTTGGAAACGACTGACATTTCTCGAGAAAAATGTTTCCTCTCTGAGCACATTTTGCAACCAGCTTATATGATTAGCATATTTAAGCTTTTCCATTTCAAACAGAACATGTGTTTCTTACAATCGCATACCAAAAGTTCTGTTCAAATTATTCCCTTAATGTATTTATTTGGTGTCAATTTGCTGGCTCCAGTGTTTTACGACTAATCTGGGACTTCTTTCATACACTTTGTATTTTATTTGCAGCTACAGCAAAGTTTAAAGGAACATTTGTGCTGTCAAATCATTTGCAGCTGGGTTTTCTCTTTTTTTTTTCATTAGATGATGAATTACAATCAGCTGCATGTGTGATACAACAAAAGTATTTTCTGAGATATACAAGTCCAGTATGTTTTATTTTTTGATAAATATTTTTCAGCACTGTGCAAAGTTACTGAAATTATTCCAAAATTGGTTTGCAAGATACAAACAGAGCCACCAGACCACTTCATGTGCTCTTGACGTTGTTTGACACTTTTTAAGTCTGTGTTTGCTTTAAGCACTTGTTTCATTGTAAATAATGACAAGATATGCTGTTTAAAAAAAACATCCCTATACACAGTTCAAAGACGCAGATGCGCTTCCTTTTATTTATAGTTTTTGCTCTTTCATAAAACACACCATCACCTGTCAATCAAACCTTTGTGTTTAAAGCAGCGTTTGATGCTTTTAATCTTCACACACATCTCAAGGCACTGTACAAAAGCCAATTAGTAAAAGTTCTCTATCAAAGGAAGCCAGCAGATTGTGTTGAATCTTCATATCGTCGCAGTCTCTCATCCTGAGCAAACGCAAAGGCAACAGTGGAAAGGAAAAACTCCTTTTTAACAGGAAGAAACCTCCAGCAGAACCATCTGCCTCGAACAACTGGGGTTTGAGAGGACAGGAAGGAGGAATGGACACACTGGCAGGTCCAGGTGGACTTTCTATAGAAGGAAAGACAAAAACATGTTAAGCTATAAATAATTACAAATACAAACAGGTAGAGTAAAGCAGGTAAAGACAGCAGCAGAGTGAGGAAATGTGGTCAATTTGTCCTCCAGTAGTCTAAGCCTATAGCAGCATAACTAAGGGATAGCTCAGGAAACCCAAGCTGACCCTAACTATAGGATTTATCGAAAAGGAAAGTCTTGAGCCCAGTCTTAAAACAGGACAATGTGTCAGCCTCACAGACAGAAACTGGAAGTTGGTTCCACAAGAGAGGAGCCTGAGAACTGAAAGATCTTCCTGTCATTCTGCTCTTGGAAACTCTAGGAACCACAAGTAAACCTGCAGTCTAAAAGCAAAGTGCTCTGTTAGGAAAATATGGAACAATAAGATCTGTAATATAAGATGGAGCTAGGTTGTTGAGAGCTTTGTAGGTTAGGAGTAAGATTTTGAATTCAATTCTGGACTTGACAGGGAGCCAATGGAGAGAAGCTAAAACTGGAAAAATATGATCTCTCCCACTAACTCCAGTTAAGACTCTAGCAGCAGCATTTTGGATTAACTGAAGACTTTTTAAAGTATTTGGACACCCAGATAAGAAACTAGTGCAATAGTCCAGTCTAGACGTGACAAATGCATGGACCAGTTTTTCTGCATCGTTTTTACATAAGATGTTTCTAATTTTAGAGATATTACGCAGGTGGAAGAAGGCGGTTCTAGTAACGTTTTTAATGTGGGGGATAAAAGACATGTCCCGATCAAAAATAAATTAATGTTGTTATTATTATATTGTCTTATTATTTTATATATGAGCAAAACATTTTTTACAACCACCTGGTTTTTTTTGTAGTTTATATATATATATATATATATATATATATATATATAAACAGTCACTTCAATTCCAACCACTATATTATTTGACAGTTTTCAAAACAGGTCAGCATTTTTCTAGTTGCATAAACACCAATGTGCGGGGGAACGGTAATTAACAGTTCAATGCACAGTGGAGATAAATACATTTGTTTCTAAAAACTGAATATTTATAAGTTGGGCATCGGTGACCCTCGCAACACTAAAAGGAAGAAGCTGGTAAAGGTAATGGATGAATATTTGTAAGTTATATGTGTCCTCTCTTATAGGATTCGATGACTTCCATCTCTCGATCCACAGCGACATGGCAACTGTTGCTAAGGCCATGGCCTGCCCAGAGTCAGGGCTGGAGGTGCGGGACAGGATGTGGCTCAAGATAACCATCGCTAATGCCTTTATTGGTATGTTTATCTGAGTAACAGTTCATCATCGTCATCATCGTACTCACAAGGTTTCATCAATGTTTTATAAACGTGTTTGAAGTCCATAAATGTCTTTTAGATTCCTTCGTAATTTTTCACCATTATAAATGAATAGCTTTTAAAATCAATGTAAAATTAAGATATTATAAATCATTTGATGCATTTAAAAAGAACATATAAAGACATTTGTTTATAAACGGGCTTTTAGTTGGATGTTTTAGTTTTGATATTTTAATTGTGTATTGCATGCATTTATTTATGTATGTATGTTTGTACGTATATTTGTTTTTATGTATGCAGTTTCTCTTATTGTGAAGCACTTGATATTACAACTGTGAAAGGTGCTATCTAAATAAACCTTACTTATTTACATTGAACAGCAAACATAATTTGATAAAATACAGCAAAGTCTCAGGAAGTTGTCAGAACCCTGTGTATAAGACTACATACACTTGGCATTACATATAAATAAAAGAAATGCACTAATAAAAATAGAATAAAGGACAAAATAAGCATTAAGGCACCCCACCAGTTTTGTCGTTGTTTTTTTGTTTTTATGCATAAAAGTATAAGAGAGCAGTCATTTAAGTAATTTAGTATGAACTATACAATTTTTCTTTTTTTTTTTTTTCATTTACACTTTATTTATCCAGGTTAGTCTCATTGAGCCACGAGAACTCATTTTCAAGAGAGACCTGTTTAGGGAGCAGATGGTGTTTATTTCATTTCCATGTAAAATGTTTATTTTCCGCCCTGTGTGTCATTGTGTCAGGTTCTGATGTGGTGGACTGGCTCTTCCACCATGTTGAAGGGTTCTCAGATCGCCGCGAAGCACGGAAGTATGCCAGCAACCTGCTGAAAGCTGGCTACATTCGACACACTGTCAACAAGATCACTTTTTCTGAACAGTGCTACTATGTCTTTGGAGACCTCTGTGGCAGTAAGTAGAAACTTTTTGGTTATGAAGAGTCTGTTGGCTATAAAAACAAACTTCAAAGTGATGTTTCCCGTGACTTTTACTGTCAGCTGTTGGGTCTTTTTGTGTATAACTAATGTGGCTCAGAAGTACAGTGAAATCTGTTTTTTTTTTTTTCTGTTTTTATCAGATATGACCCACCTGTCCCTACATGACCACGATGGTTCCAGTGGGGGTGCCTCAGACCAGGACACTGTCCCTCCGTTGCCCCACCCAGGGGCAGCTCCTTGGCCTATGGCCCTTCCTTATCAGTTTCCTATTCCTCATCCTTACGACCTGCCACAGCCTTTCCATGGAGGGCCAGGTGCTGGCAGCGCAGGGAGCCAGCACAGTGGTGAGTCCACCATTGCCACACGTGCTCATCATTTCATTTCACTGATTTATTCAAATTAGGACAATGCGTATTAATCAACATATCAGAGGTAAGCCTCTATGTAACTATGCCAGAGTTAGCACAACAGCTAATTTTCATCCGTTAAGGCAGGTAAGAACAAGAAACATCAAAACAAAGCAGAGAATAAAACAAACATCACCTATATAACACATAACACAACATGAAATTACAATAAAGATATGACGCCATAAGAAAATGGACAATGTAATCTACACGAGTGCACCTCTGGTTAGTTTTCAGCCAAAGTTTCAAAAAGTTTTTAAAGCTGGAGTAGGTTCCACAGCTCCTTATAGAAACTGGCATGTGATCAGAAGAACGTTTAACAAACAAACAGTGTTGACGCATTAATAAAACACTTCTAATAGAATAAAACATAGTTTAACTGCTGCTTTGTCCTTTTCTCTGCTATTTATCTCTGAGCTGCAGATACTACATGACGTTAAACAAGTTTTGACAACTTCTTTGGACAGTAATAGATTTTTCTTTGTGCCGGTGTGTGTTTGTGTCTGTTACCAAAATATCCCATCAACCACAGAGCAGGGTTTAATGAAACTTGCAGAAAGTTATCAGCGCACGCACATTTACAAGAATTCAAACTAATTCAAGAAGGACGCCACAGCCAGCTGGCCTCTAAAAACAAGAATGGCTGCAACTTAGTTTTACAGCCATTGAGCTAAGTTTGGTGTGGTAGTAGCTGAGGCTGATCCCAAATACATACTTTAATTACTTAGATTGCACCAGATCTTTGAGAATTTTGCAATTATTATTTTGAGTCACTTATGTCTGTAAGCCAAATATCTCATTAACCTCTAAATGGATTTGAATGAAACTTCCAGGAAATTGTTGAATTTACCTCTGCAGCTGGTCACCTTTTGGAGCCAACACAATTCAAGATGGCCACCACAAGTAATCTACGTCAGCTAACACAAAATGACTATAACTCAGGTTAAAACATATTGAGCTACAAATTGATGTGGTAGTAGATGAGCATCATTCTTAAGACAAACTCAGACCGTGACATCTCATAAGATAATGAATAACATTATTTTCAGGGTTTGACCAAATTGTCATCATCGGATCTTAATGTGAGACTTAAGAATGAAAGGCAGAATGCATTCCTTTAAAGAATGACTCTTTTTAAAATCAGTTTATTCCTTATTTTAGGTCACTGTGTACTAAGAACACAGTTGATTAAAAGTGAAATATATTCCCTCTAACAACCCCCACACTGTTTTATGAGCTGTTTTTTTGTGTGTATTTAGTGTGTTTGGGGAGAAAAGTGGGTTTTGTGGTTTCATGAGCAGTCTGCTTACTCTGGGATATTTACTGACGAACAGCAGCTGGACCCAGCAACATCTCACTTACGCAGTCTTCTCTTTTTGTGGTTGCATACTACCTCGTGTAAAAAGTGGACAAGTTTAGAATAACTTACTTCTTTTGATGGAGGCCGTGGCTGATTTTCAAGCCTTTTTCATGCAGCAGTTTACGTTAAATATGTGTATCCCATAGATTTGGTGTTCTATGACAGAGTTAACAATCTGGGCTTTGTCTTATTCATACAAGTGGTATTAACATTACCTCATCACTCTTAAGGGCTTCCTCTTACAGCAAACGGTGTACACGTGGTAATAAAATGAAATCTAGTTGTTTTCAGTAATAGATGGCTTGTGTTTGTATTTCTCCTTGGGCTAACAATAGTCTCTTATTCTTTTAACAGGAAGCAGCGGCTCTAACTGCAGCAAGAACGAGGGACGGAAGTCTGGTGGCAGCGGCAGCGAACCAGAGATCAGGAGCCACAGAGCTCCAAGTGAGCGCTCAGCGGCGCCCCCCAGTGAGCGAAGCATTCGAAGCGCCATCAGCCATCGCAGTGCCAACTCCCACTCTATAGCCTTTGGGCATGGCCTTGTTTATGGGCCCCCTGGCCTGCCCCCACAACCCGCACATCTGTCGACTGCTGCACCTGGAGCCCCACAAGGCAGGGAGCTGACCTCTGTGCCCCCTGAGCTCACGGCTTCACGCCAGTCTCTGCGTATGGCTGTGGGCAATGCTGGAGAGTTCTTTGTTGATGTAATGTGACATTGGGTTGTAGTTCAATAACAAAGTAGCAGATTTGATAATGTTTTGCCAAAAGGATAAGAACGATGGGGCAAGGAGTCAAGATAGCAGAAAGCTAAAACTCAAGGCCTTGATTACACTTTCCTAAAAGCATAAATGGAACCAACCCAGTCTAGCATGCTAAAAAAAAAAAAAAAGGTTCAACCTCGACTGTTTTTCCTCCTAATAATTCCCATACTTTCTTCAGTGAAGAAACGCCCTCGCTCAACATGGAACCAAAGTGTCTTTCTCAGTGTCTGGTTCAGTTCAATTCAGTTTATTTATGTAGCGCCAAGTCACAACAAAAGTCTTGAGGTACTGTACAAAAACATTCACATGCATAAAAAAAGCCATTAGTAAAGTTGTCTATCTAAGGAAGCCAGCAGATTGGGTTCACAGAGGGGAAGAGTTGGTTTAAGGGGTGAGAGTGGGGCTTGTCTGGTAAAAACTGGGATGACTCGGCGCATTTGTTTTTAATTTGTTCTGCTCTTTACTACCCTCTCCCCTTCTTCTTTCCTTATCTATTTTTCAGCCTTCCCCTACTCTTGTCCACATTGAAATGGAGAGGAAAAATTCTTCCTACCCGTTTTTCATCCCCACTTGCTGACCTCTATAAAAAAAAAAAAAACTTAAAAAGCTGACGTGAACAATAACTTTATTCAGATGTTTAAGATATTTGACATAAGAGATCAAAACTTTTGTATCTAGAACAGCAGTTTTTTTTAACTGTAATACATTATATGCATAGTTTGGTCAAAATCTAGTTTCATTTTTAAAAGTTTAACGTGAACATTTTAGCTACAAGAGTCTTTTTTTTTTACACTACGCTTTGTTACATTTTCTTCTGCTTACCAGAAAATCTACAGTTTTGTGATAAATGTATAGTTGAAGAAAATTCGTACCATATCTTTCACACTACTTTTATCAAGAAAAACAACTTTTTTATTTATAAATATAGTTTTATGACAACTACTTGCTTCTTTGTGTTTTTTTTTTTTTTTGTGTCATTCTGTGTGCAACATGGAAACTTCTCACCTTCTGCTAACTCGGGTCGTATTTGCTGTGGATTCCAATCTGTCCTAAAGCAGAAAACACCGCAGTCTGGTGCACAGATGTGTGTGTTGGTGGTGTGTGTGTGTGTGTGTGTGTGTGTGGGGGGGGGGGGGGGGGGGGGGGGGGGGGGGGGGGGGGTATAGTTCAAATTGCCACAGAACTGACTTGACCTTGTGCAAAGTTTTCTGTGGTTTCAGGTGAAAAAGCATGCATAAAGCCAACTTGGCTAAGTTTGAACAAAAACTGTTTAAGCAATGGAAAATCCACTTTGTAGGACATATATAAACAAAATGAATCAAGTTAGAGGACAACCCTTGAGTGTTTTACATCATAAAAATAATTTCAGGGATAGTGTTTTCATAAAAGCCTGCAGGTCCCTCTCTGGTGCAAAGGAGGAATTGCAGATCAGCGTTCATTAAAGAAAGTTCATTGCCAATTTACTCCAAAAGCCATTAAGAAAAAAAAAATCTCACCACGCCACCACCCTGTGTAACAAATTACTGAAGTGCCATAAAACAGTGATTAGCAGCGGACAGGGCTTATCATAACGAGGCCTGGGTGCGGTTAAAACGTCGCTTCAGCCGCGCCTTTTCCTGTCAGCGGAACGCTCGTGCGTAAAGACGGCGGGTCAGCTGACAGCTATCAGGAGCGGAATCCTGCTGGGACACCGTTAAGGCTAAACCGGGAGCATAAAGAGCGGTGGTGTTCGTGAGGGAAGCAGGGTGAGTTCACACGAGTCCAGTCATTGATGCTTTCCATGTTGAAACAAACGGTAAGCGCCGGAGAAAACCCAGTGACCGCTCTTAATTCGTGGACGATGCTAGCGTTAGCGGCTGCTCAGCTAACCGTTGCTAACGGCAAGCTAACAGCGGTTAGCCGCATCATAACGGGCAAATTGGCTTTTTTAGCTCCGTTCAGCAGGAAACCGTGAAACGTCCCTGTTGTGTAATGGCTTAAGAAATTGGCGCTGGTACAGTAAGCTTGTTCGGGAATGTATACACCTAACGTGCATGCTGTCGGTAACTAATAATGATGCATGAAAATCAGATTTTTCTTTTTACCGGAAGCCAGTTTAAAACTCAGCTCGGCGTTTCGCGTCGACAGCTAGCTTGCTAAATTAGCCTCATTCGGTGTGTTCTCCATCACCATGAAGGTCAAAAGCTCATAAGGATCGATACCGCCTAAAATGTTCCAAACGAACCATGAAATAAATTTTAACATTTGACGTTCGAATATCAACTAAGGACGAACGAGAAACGTATGGATGTTGAATGGCCTGGGAGTTGGTCAGTGAGCAGACATCTTGCCTTCGTCTGGACGATTAAACCTCGTTTGGTGCAGGGTTCAGTCACGACTGCTTTTTATTTTATTTAGAAAAATTTTGCACCTTTGTTTTTAATTTAGCATATGCTCTTCAGAGCTTTATGTTTTTAAAGTGTTTGAATTCTTTCATCGAGGAGTTTCAAGGATGTCCTTCATCCTGTTTTCCAGAAATTTCATTCATATTTTAAATGGAACAGTTCAAGACAGATATATACGAGTTGACTTATATCAGCACCAGCCCTTACTTTACAATTCTTGTCTTGGGGTTATCATTATTGGATTGAATCTTTTAATCATATCCAGGAATCATTTGTAAAACATGGAGCAGATGTGCAGCCCTAACCGGTGGCTACTAATTCTGTAATCTTATTTGGAAAACCAGTGAATTACCTGTGGGGCTAGTTGGTATTAATCTAAATTGGAGTCAGTCTTGCTGTGTTTAAATGAAGTCAGTGAAGAGGTGCAGCTGCAGGGTGATGTGTATTTATGCGAGTTAGACAGAAAAGGAGGATGTGAGTGGACAAATGCCTCTCTGTGCTGCTGGTCACTTTCTCGTGGCTTTCACTTCTCTATCACCCCCGTTTTCCTTCCCTGACTTCCTTCCTTTTTTTTATTCTGTCCTCTTCTCAGGAGGAGTTTGGTTTCACCATGGCAGGTTGGGATTGAGAAGCAGCCACAATGATCGGAGGACTGTTCATTTACAACCACAAGGGGGAGGTCCTCATCTCCCGTGTCTACCGAGATGACATAGGGTAGGTGTTGGCAGGAGCAAACCTGCTGGAAGAACCCTGAAATTGTGGAAATCTTCATGGAGATAATGTGTGGGCTGGATGTGTTGGAGTTGATCCTCGGCGAGTGGATTATGTCTCTCGGCTTAGCTAAATGAATGTTTGTGGTGTTACTGAAAGGTGGAAAGCCAAAAGCTATAAGCCAGGATTACATTTGGAGCATTGTTTGTCATTGCATATGACATGAATGTTAGCCTTTTTTTTTTAATGAGCTCTACCTGGGAAACATTCTGACAACCGTACATGCAAATGACAAAGTATTGTTTCATTTAGGCGTGCTTATCAAACCACACGATCGAATTAAAAGATTAGTTCCAGCTGCGTGGAACGCTACACTCCCAATTTGTCTTCACCATTTACTTTGTTTCAAACATTTTAAATTATTACCACATGACAATTGTATTCCTGATTTTAATATTTATATATTTCTAAGAGCTTTTCATAAGCTTCTAAACGTTGTCACGTTTGCCTTTTATAATTAAGGATTTTTATATTTTAAAGTTTTGCAGCACAGTTGCTCAGAGTTGGTTTTTAAATGTTTCAACAGAAACACTCGACATGTAATCATCACACAGCTGCTGGCATAATAAAAAAAAAAAGAAGTGAAATTACTAGCTAATGATACTTTTAATGTACAGCATCTTTTCCTAGAAATAAGCTTGACATTCATTTGGTTTGTTTATTCACATATTTGTTTTTCAATAATCGAAGTCAAAGTGTCTTTTTCAAATGTCGTTTCAAGTAAAATTTGAATTTTGCAGCGCTGTTCATGAATTTAATTTACAGTTTTGCGTTTTTCTCCACTTTATGTTGGAGTTGAATGTTTGAACATGTTCGTTAAAAAAAAATGTTTTTGCATTTTTCATTTCTTTTAAGAGCATATAGCACATTTGTTTTTGTATTAAGTTTTTTTTTTTTTAGTGCAATTCCTGAAAACGCCTACGCATGTTTACTGAGCAAATATAGTCCTACAACCACAAAGAGGGTAGAGTACTAGAATCTGGACTAAATAACCTGTAAGACCTGAAGACTGTGGCACAGTCAGTTCTAATGACACTATATACTATTTAAAATCTTTAGATTTGTTGTATTGGCACAAACTACTAATCAGTTTTGCTTGTCGGTCATTGCTTTGTCTTTATAAGATCCACCAACAGCTGCTTGTTTTTACTTTTTACTAATACTACTGTGTACTACACAATACTATTGAAATGCTGGAGAGAGAGAAAAAAAACTTGACCTTTTGTATTTTCTGTTCAGCATAATTATAATTTAGAACTGCGAGTCTGCATATTCGATGTGCTGCTACAGGAACGTGGAGTAAACCACTTGTGTTTTATAAAGGTTTTAGTTTTTGTATGTGCAGCTAGGCCAATGACTACGATACTTTACTGCGCATTTGTTAGAATTCATAAAACACTAAACTAATGCTGTTTTGCCTTTTAGTATAAATTAATTCACACTATCCTTTTGTATTGTAACACAGCATGTTGCAGAGCAGTCTCATAGGGATGCACAGTATTGGATATTTGGCTGATAACAATAGCATTTTTTTTCCCCTAGACCTACTTACAGAGACTACACAGCTTTCTCTGCTGTGGAATTAAAATACTACATTATTCTGCATGGTCTTTGTCAGTTTGGCCTGCTAACAAATGCAGATGCCAAAAATGGAGCTGAAACTGATGTAACACTTCAATTCGGATTATGTTTAATGTCAAATTTATTCATGACATCTACTCTCTCTAACGCAATGACAACACTCTGAACAGTGCAAATTTGGAAATTTTCACAAATCTAAACTCGGTCTGTTCACAAGTGCAAAAGTAGTACATTAATAGATGTACTTGACGGTTTCTTAAATTAAAATTTAACTTGAAGCAGAAGCCTTTTTGTCTGAGTTATTATGATGGAATGTCCGATATTTAACTTTATCGCTAATATCTGCCAGTGCCGATAATATCGTGCATCCCTAGTCTTTTGTGTTGTCAAAGTAGCATCATAATTAGCACCACGTGACTCACTCTATCTACATGATGCACAAAAATGTCTCCTTGTACATTTTTGTCTCCTTTTGGTTTTCTTCATCCTTTTTCTCCTATGTATCGTTTGTCATCACTTTCCTCCATCTGTTCATCTTGGCCCTTGTAGGAATAGGTAAGAGCTGCTGCAGCTTCTAAAGCATGACACCCCCAAACCCCTGGCGCTATCCTGCTCCTGCCCACTAATCTGTGACTTCTTGAACCCTAAACTGCATGCATCGTCACCCAGCAGTTCCTCTAAGCATGAGTCGCCTGTCTTTGTATTAGTGGTTTAAAGAACACGCGTTGAAACGCAGCAGCAAATCGACTCGGCTTCTTTCAGAGTCCAGCATTAGTTCTCTTAGTCAGCCGTGCCAAAGCATGGAGCCTGAGCATGAAACGATGGTGGATTTAGTTCTACCATTTTGTTTTGTGTGTGCTAACAATTATATATATTTTTTTAATTAAATTTAGCAGTAATTTGGATATTTTGAAGTTTTACTTGATGTGGGCTTTGAGTAAAGCATCGTACACTAATGTTTATGTAGATATTTTATCTAAAACGTTAAACGGATTAAATAAAAATCCACTTTGTACAATTTTAGATAAAGATTTCTTTAGAAGTGCTGCAGTTTCCTGGAATGACCTTCAGGATTTTCTCAGGCACTAATCTGTGGGATTAGATCTCATCAGAACATGTTTTTGTTTTGTTTTTTTCTCACTGAGATTTATTTTTGTACAATTTCATATTAATTTGGATAATTTCCCAAATTAGTTTAGTCAATACTAGTTGAAGCTAAATAGTTCATTTAATGTCACTAGTGGGGGGAAAAAGTCAATTAAAATTTGTAATTCTCTTTGCACAAGGATGAGTTTTAAACCATGTGATTAAAAAAAAAAGTGATTTTAAGCAGGTTTTTATTTATCTTATTTAATCAAGGCAATGATGCTGTTGCCCTGATGTCTCATCATTTTCTGATAATTATCTGTATTTACAAAACAAGACTTCCATCTTATCCCATAAAGTCGAATCTTTTTTTTTTTTTTTTCCTGGTGTAAATAAAGTTTCTGTACTTATCCTCTTTCTTTCTTCTCTTTGAAAACTGTAAAACCTGGACATGTTTGGGCAGTGAGGGTGTTACTTCTCGAGTGTGACCCTTTCAGTTAGCAACAGTTTTTTCATTAGTTTATTTGAACAAGGGCGGCACATTAAACAATGTCGCATGTTAAAAACGAAGCAACCGTTGTTTTGTACGAAGATTTTCTAGCCACAGGCTAATTTGCAAACCCAGTCCTTGGTAGTCCTTGGTTCTTAATTTTGAGTTTTGTTTAACATTAATTTTAAGTTGTTGTTGTTTCTGACCTAAATGTCTCTGTCCCGCTCGTCTGTTCGTTCTAGACGGAATGCCGTGGACGCGTTCCGTGTGAACGTGATTCACGCCCGGCAGCAGGTCCGATCCCCGGTGACCAACATCGCCCGCACTAGCTTCTTCCACGTGAAGCGCTCCAACATTTGGCTGGCGGCCGTCACCAAACAGAATGTCAACGCTGCCATGGTGTTCGAGTTCCTTTACAAAATGTGTGACGTTATGACGGCCTACTTCGGCAAGATCAGCGAGGAGAACATCAAGAACAACTTTGTGCTCATCTACGAGCTGCTAGATGGTAGGAGATGCTTGTGGTATTAGTATTGGTCACATTATAAATATGTTTTGTTGATTGTGTGTTTTTTAATCATTCACTTATCATTTGTAGAACAAAGCTGTTTTTAATTTTCCTTCCTGTTGGAGCGTTAGTGAAAGCTCTGTTAACTCAACGTCATGGTTGATCACTTTCACCACCACTTGTCCCAGTTTTCCCTCCTGCCCTTCTTATCTTTATCAGTTATCTACTCGTTTTTGTTTATTCAGAGATCCTGGACTTTGGCTACCCCCAGAACTCAGAGACTGGAGCCCTCAAGACCTTCATTACCCAGCAGGGCATTAAAGGACAAGTAAGCCAGACGTAAAAGCTCGAATCTAACGGGAGCCGAACTTTTAGTTTGATAAGATTAATTCAGCAGAAGGTTAATGTTGCAGCCTTGCGAAGGCGTCTGTTTGCATAAACTAAAGTTAAACAGATTATTTCATGCAGTTTAACAATGAATGCATTTTATGTGCGAGACTTGCAGGATTTGTTTTTGACACATTTGTCTGAGACTAGTAACAGTAATATGAACCCTGATGTAGTTTCAGTCCTTTTTAACATTATCCATAAAACATGAGTAGCAGCTGCAAAACATAATTATGGGATTGTTCAGTATGCAATATTATAATACAGATGCTTTAAAAAAGCAAAAACGTTGTTTTATTCTTAGATGTATACCTTTTTTTTATTATGTGATTAATTGATTTTTATTTTTTGTCTCATCTGTTTTTCCCTTCACCTGCGGTTTTTGGACACTTCAGCACCAGGTAATCTCATGGTGAAAATTTTACTTTATAGAAATAATCTCGTTTCCTCCTCCTGAATGGAACGATGCGTCGTTTGTTTCCACCTTCCCCCGTAGTGTCTGAGCTCCTGCTAATGCCAGTCTGTTGAACTCCTGCCAGCAGTTTTCTTTTTGTTGGTTGTGAAACCGTTTCTGCTCCCATCTCTCAGACAAAAGAGGAGCAGTCTCAGATCACCAGCCAGGTGACGGGTCAGATCGGCTGGCGGCGTGAGGGCATCAAGTATCGCCGCAATGAGCTCTTCCTGGATGTACTGGAAAGCGTTAATCTGCTCATGTCACCTCAAGGTCTGTTTATATGCCCGCTGGCTGCTAACAGGAATGATTTGGTAACAAAGTGTCCAGAAACGTCAAAGGCAGAGAATCACTTTTTAAATGCTGCTTGTGCTTCTCCCCACACCAAGTTATTTCTGGATGTGGCTGAAGAACTTGTGCAAAAAAAAAACGTCTCTCCATCATGTCCATACTTCATATTCTCTGGCAGTAATTAAGCTCATACTACGTTTTGATAGAATTCAACATAAAACAAAAGTTAATGGCTCTTTTTTTTTTTTTTTTTTTTTTTTTTTTTTCAATTTTTTTTTTTTTACATTTGCAGCTGGAAATCCACAATGTGCACAATCTTCATTAAATTTTAAAATGACTATTAGTTTATTTACATTTAATGAGATTGCAAAATTCCCTAGCTTTGATAAATTCCAAATTTTTATGCATTGATTTTTTTTATTTTTTATTCTTGTTTCATTTCTTTTTCCTCTCATTTTAAATATTTGACAACATGATGATAAATGAATAAAAAGCGTTTTGGCAAACATTAATTGTTTTATAAGTTGTTCAAGAATAAAAAGTCTGTCCAGTTTTTGTCTCATTAGTTTTGTTCCTCCCGTCCAGGGCAGGTCCTGAGCGCCCACGTGTCGGGCCGAGTCGTGATGAAGAGCTACCTGAGCGGAATGCCTGAGTGCAAATTTGGCATGAACGACAAGATCGTTATCGACAAGCAGGGCAAAGGAGGAGCTTCTGACGATGCTGGGAAGAGGTGAGTGATGGACGAGGAGGCAGGAGGTGAACTGATGACCAAAAATGACAACTCAGCACGAGTCTTTTTGTTTATTAGTTTTGATTATTATTATTTTTTAAAACACTATTTTGTACCATGTGCTTTTACAACTAGACAGTTTTGTTTGAATTTCCTTTGGCTGCTGCTTCTCCTCTTTATTTTTTTATTTATTTTTTAAAGCCCAAACCTGCCGGCTTGACACTTTACGATTCATCTCAGCAGCTCAGTTGTGACCTGTGCTGCCAAACGAGTCATAATGAGGAAATGTTCAACGTTCTTTTCAAGTTCTCCATCAAAAGCTTGTAGAAATTTGGTGCTTTATCACCCGACTAGTGATGAGCTAGTTTTGTTTGCGAGTTGCCGGTTTGAAAACTTGATTTTTATTGGTGGGTGATGTCATCAAACCTTTCAGGTGCAAATTTACAAACGGGAATCCCCAAGCCTCACAATAACACTAAAGCATATATGAAGGGATTTCCTAGCACTATGGCAGCTGGCAGGAAAAATATAATCAATTTAATACGAAATTAAATTATAAATAAACATTGATTCTGATAACATGTTGGAAAACAATTTTTAAGGGAAATTAGGATGATTATATTATATTTTAGTTACTTTGATGGCCTGTGATTGGAAGATCTAGTTAAACTCTCAGTACTGACAACATTAAAAAATGTGGGTGGGACACCTACCTCCACCATCATTTGCCCCACTCTGAGCCCTTGAGCAAGGCCCTTATCCCCCACCATCTGCTCCCCCGGGTGCTCTAGATAGAAGCTCTCTGCTCCACACAGAGGGCTGTGGCAGCTCGGTGGTCTGTGGTTGCGTCAGGAAGGACATCCAGTGTAAAATAATTGCCATGTCTTTGTGCGACTTAGTTCGCTGTGGTGACCCCTGAAGAAGGGAGCAGCCGAAAGAAGATGAAAACAAAAACGGTTATGCCAAAATATGCAGCCTGTGCTTATTCTGACTTATTGGACACGGGTCACATTTGTCTGCCGGGGTAGTTACAGAATAAAATGTCCTGTGTTTTTGTCCACTTTAAAAAAAAAAAAAAATATGAGTTTATAGGTTGTTCTTCACTTCAGTCCATTTTAGGGAGAGTTGAAACGATATTTTTGAGACTGCATTGTAAGTCCAAATTTACAAATGTGTGTTTTTTAATTATAAGCTCGTATCTGATTTTCAATAATTCTGTCTTCTCAGTGGGAAGCAGTCTATAGCCATCGACGACTGCACGTTCCACCAGTGTGTGCGTCTCAGCAAGTTTGATTCTGAGCGAAGCATCAGCTTCATCCCTCCTGATGGAGAGTATGAGCTCATGAGGTTAGGAATTCTTTAAAAAGTGTTTTATTGTCTAAACATGAACAAAATGTAAAAATGGTGAACAGTCGCACGTTCTGCTTAATACTGAAAGTGGGAGTTTCTTACGTACTCTGCAAACTGAGGCGTCTTGTCAGAATGCACAATTTTTAACACATTTGTAAAACTGAACAAAACGTTTTCCTGTTTCTCATAGATACCGCACCACTAAGGACATCATCCTGCCGTTCAGAGTAATTCCTCTGGTCAGGGAGGTGGGTCGTACTAAACTGGAGGTAAAAGTGGTCATCAAGTCCAACTTCAAGCCCTCACTGCTGGCTCAGAAGATTGAGGTCAGCTCCTCTTGTTGAAGTCTCGAACAGTTTTTTTTTGTTTCATAAAAATGTGTTTTGATTTTTATAATTTGATTATTAGGGATGTGTTTAAACAAAAACACTTGATTCTTCAGTGATTTTTTTCTTTAACTGACTTTGTTCAACTACCAGCAATTGTTCTAAACATAACTTCAACCTGCAGCGATCCATTTGTGTCTCAGCTCATGCTTCTGTCAGCTCTTACTCACGCAGGGCTATTAGCAAAACAAACTGTTAAAAAACAGGAAACAGTCCTTACAAGGGCGAATCACAGCATCGGCTTTTATCATTTAGGGCCACTATCTGTTTTATGTTTTACTCAAAAAATGACCGTGTCCACATATTTGTATGGAAGACTTGTGGTGAATCGCTGCCGTCACATAAATTTTCTAACTGAACTCCATTAAATAGATTTTGACTATTCAAAAATCACTGTCCCTCCTTATTGATTTTATAGCTGATTCATTTGAAATGGTATCAGATCTGACTCAATCACCAATTTTTGAAACCTTCTTTCCTCAGGTGCGAATTCCAACGCCCCTCAATACCAGCGGTGTGCAGGTGATTTGTATGAAGGGAAAAGCCAAATACAAGGCCAGTGAGAACGCCATCGTCTGGAAGTGAGTTGAAGCTCCGATTGAATGGTTTAGAGGAACTTGCACCTCGCTGGTGTCTAGCATCACATTGGCACTTCTGTAGAACACAACAGTTTTCTTTGTAAATTGAAATGACATGAAACTAAAGTTGGTCTCTTTCCAGTGAAGTCAGTTTTTTGTGTTTTGCAGGATCAAACGGATGGCTGGGATGAAGGAGTCCCAGATCAGTGCGGAGATCGAGCTGCTGCCCACCAACGATAAGAAGAAATGGGCCAGGCCTCCAATTTCTATGAACTTTGAGGTAAGAATAGTTGACTGTCTCTCTCTCATAAATCTATATCAGTGTTGTTCACCAAAGCTGCTCAGTGGGCCACAGTGTCTGAAAGCCAGCAGCTCAGAGGCCGGACATCCAGCAGTTAGACATTATGTAAATAAACCAAGTATTACAACGATCTGTCTTTTAAAATAGTTTTTGGGCATAAAGTTGACTGCAAATTGACTAGTTTTCAAATTGTACTCATTACACATGTAACATTTTTACATTCCTGCAACTGTTGCATACAGTTTGTTTAAAAAAAATATATTGTTAGCCAGACTTGTTCCAGACTCGAGGAGCTCCAGTGAGATTCTATCCACTCGGTGCGCTACCAACCAAACTCACTCTGGATCGAATCAAATCTCAGCATTCATCATCTCAAGCTGTTTACTGTTGGCCTCGTGCACACACAGCAGCTGCCTGCGTGTCCCAGCCCGTTTCATCTTCCTCCTCCTTTTCGGCTCTGCAGGTTCCTTTTGCTCCATCCGGCCTGAAGGTGCGCTACTTGAAGGTGTTTGAGTCCAAGCTCAACTACAGTGACCACGACGTGATAAAATGGGTGCGGTACATCGGCCGCTCTGGCATCTACGAAACACGCTGCTGAAGTTCGACCCCACCAGGCGGCAAACTGACCACCTCCCTCCCATCTATACTGTTGAGGATTTTTTTTTTTTTTTCTTCTTTCCTCCTCCCTTTGTCTTTATTCTTCCCTCGGTCTGTATCCCTTCTTAACTAGATGTGGAGATTGAATTTAAATACAAAATAAAAGAATTATGGTGTAATTCAGATATATGCAAAATGTGAACCGTTGTATCGTATATATCTAGTAGTGATGAGTAAAGCTGTTCATCATCTCGTGTCTGATAGAGACAAGTGATGCTGGGGGCTCAGGGGGAGAGGACAGGAGGCTTCATTTATTCAGTGTTATTGTTCCTTTTCTCCACATACACAAGTCCCACGTGTCGGTTCACCCCGGTGAGTTTCATTGTTGTGATTTAAAACGATTCCTGATAGTTTCCATATGCCCCAGTAGTCTACCGTCTGAATAAACTGAACTTGTCTGCTCATCACTCGAGGGTGAAATCATTTCTGGCAGTCTGTTTTAGATGGTTGAGAAAAATGAATTGCGTTGTGGAAGTTTGGTTTTGTACTTAAACTATATTCCCATTGTCCTGCTTTTAGTCAAAGTTCTATCAGGCAGTCTGAGGTTGGACCGTTACTGAGTAGATTATTGTGACCCATTCCCACAGATATTTTCTAAGCACTAAGATTTACCTTTGACACACTATTTTGGATTCAAAGATCAGTCTACAGGGTTTGCAGTGAGGTGAGGGCTCCCCCTGGTGTCTGCTTCACCACAGTCTGCTTCTTCATGTTGTTGCCCTGGTGACCGTTCTGTCCAATAAAATCTATGTAACCAAACTTGACTTGTATTTTTATTTGCCTCAGTTTTATTGTATCACTGTTTTTACATTAGTCTAAACCAGGAAGAACTGGGGGGGAGAAGTTTCCTTAAATTATTATATATGCATGAATGGTTTTGTAAGAGAAAAGTCGCATGTTTTGGTCAACAAGTTTAATTACACATTTTCTCTGCATACAGAACATAAGACAAAAACAACCCCAAATAGGAACTTAAAACTTCTGCCTCTAGTAGTTGCAGTTCTTGACTTGCTGTTTATGTGGACATGCTCAGACAAATTTACTGATCTAAAGAAAGTTTACAAGACTCAAAGTGAGACTTCCTGGGAGTAGCTTAGCACCAGAACCTAGGCTGGATTGTTTCCACTTCTGCAAATCACACGGGATTCATTCACAAGAACAAATGTTTTGGTGGAAACCAGCCTGGAACAGACTGATCTGACACATTAGTCAGACTTGCATTACAAAAAGACCTCCTGAGCCCACACATGCTTTACCACTGAAGACATGACAGACTGAAAAATCCTAAATTGCTCTGCTTCAAACCTATGGATGAAAAGTAAAACACTTTTTGCTCATGGGTGGGGGGGACTATTCATGGATGGAGGTAGCTACACAAAGGTTGATGCCTTTAACAGCAAATCGTTCATTAAAAGTGAGTTGGCTATTTACCTATGAGGAAGCTTTGTTCATGAGAGCCATTTTCTGCTCGAGCTGAGCATTTTTTTTTTTAACATATTTGTATATTTTTGATTTATAACTCTGTTATTGTCAAGTGTTTAAAACAGAATGATTACTTGCCAAATCAAAAACACGCCTAGATGACAAGTCCTGCCTTGTTTACACAAATTCTCTGCACCAAATTTTCCAAGAAGGAAATCTTGCCAAAAAAATCAGCAACGTCCACTGAAAGGCATCTAGTTTGAAACCTGATTTGTCAGTAGGTGTAAATTAAGAGCAAATGTAATACTATATATGCAGTAAAATAAGCTAAACCCAGATGTGCCGACTGACGGGAAGCTGTTAGCAAGTGAGCATTTTTAAACATGCTGACTAGCTTGCGTACATGCAGATACACAGACAGACAAACTCGGGATAAAACGCCTGCCGTTTAGTCGACACCTGTTTTCACATTGTTCACGTCCAGATAAAATCTGGAGGCTTCCTGGAATTTTACAAGAAAAACAGCTGGTTTCACATCAAGCAGAACATGGACACACGAGCAGATCCTTTACATTGCAGTGACCTGCTCTGACGAACTCCTCTCAGACATATAAAATGTGATCTCGTGCTCCCTCAGCTCACCTGTCCCATGTTCAGATGACAGAGGCTTCAACTTAAGCTCCCTCCTGCTGCACCATAATGCAAACATAAAAATACAGTCAGGTGGAACAGTGTAACCTGAAAACATTCCTACGTGACAGTGGTAAAACATGATACGTGAACTAAATATGCAGAACTTGACTGACTAGTGGTAACTTTTACTGACCATCACACAAACACAAAGCATGATTTGTGCCTATTAAAATGAGCCGTGGAGAGCCTGGCTCTTACATTTAACATGACTGATGGGCTAAAAGTAAAACCAGGAACAAAGTTAAATAAAATGTTGCAGCTTGGAGCTCAGTGAAAGCCACGCAGCGGTACGGCTCTTTAACTCTTAGTGCTATCTGTGGCCAAACGATAAATTTAAAACTTAGTTTAGTTGTCGTCGTCTTCGTCGTCATCGTCGTCATCGTCCTCGCTGATGAGGTATCCCCGCGCACCGCTGTGGTGAGGAGGCGATGGTGGAGGGGAGGTTTTGGAGAAGAAGGGGAGTCGGAAGGTGGGAGAGGGCGAGCGCTCCTCGCGGGTGGGGCTGCTGTTGGGGCTGTGCCGGGGGCTGATGGCCTGCAGCATGCGGCCTTTTCCTTCCTTCAGCATGTGCTTCTGTTGAAAAGAGACAAACCACAGATCGATTCATTTGATCAACTAGAGAAATCATTTCCTGAGAAAATGCAGTGTGAAGGTTTATTGCAGAAGAACTTGCTGAAAAACAGCTGAAATTAGATTAAAAAAATAATAATCTGAAATGTAGCTGTTTAAATATGCAGCAATTAGCAAAAAATAAATTAGCTAAAAAGAAAAGCTGAAATTAGCCAAAAGTAGCTGAAAAGGCAAAAAGAAGCTTAAGCTACCAGAAGGAAGTGGAAAGAACTGAAATGAGCTCAGAAAATGTGGGATTAGCTGAAAAAGCTCAAATTAGCATCAAGAGCTAAATAGTAGCTGAAAGTGCAGAAAAAGCAGAAACTAGCAGAAAAAAAATCTGAAATGAGCGTAACAAGCTGAAAGTAGCATGAAGAAGTTAACTAGGCTGAACGTAGCAAAACTTAACTTGAAAAACTTGAATTTATCTGAAAACAGTAGAAATTTGTTAAAACATGCAAAAAAAGGTAGCTGAAAAGTTAGAACAAGCTTAAATTAGCAGAAGAAAGCAGAAAGCACAACTATTTGCCCAATTAGGCTGAACGAAGCAGAAATTAGCACAGGGAAGTGGACATTGTTTGAAAAAGCAGAAATTTGAAAAAAAAAAAACCAGCTGATAAGTAGCTAAAAAAGCAGAAAGAAGCTTAAATTACCAGAAGTGGAGAGAGCATATTTTTGCTGAATTAGGCTGGAAAAAGATGAAATGAGTGCAAAAAATGTGGACTTTGAAAAAAAGCTAAAGTTAGCATAAAAACAGCTAAACAGTAACTGAAATAGCAGAAAAAGCTAAAACTTGCATAAAAAAGCTGAAATGAGCATAACAAGCTGAAATTAACAGAAAGAAGCTGGAAGAAGAACAAAAAAATTGTAGTTGACAGAAAGTCAGAGTCAGAGTCAGAGTTTCTTTATTGTCATTCGCACCTCATGTGGTACATGTGGTGGAGCGAAATTATGTACGCAGGGTCCCAGTTACATCCAACAATAAAATGTATAAGAAAAACAGTAATGACATCTAAGATATGAACTAAGAAAAACATCAACTAAATATACACTAAGCACTCATAACATAAAACATTGAACATCACCACAAACATGAACATGAGTCTGTGAGCAGATGTGCACGCATGAACACATCAACATTGAAACAGATCAGCAGCAACATGATATGGTTTTTCAGTGATTATTCTAGTTAGAGATTCATGAGTCTAACAGCCTCAGGGTAGAAGCTGTTCCTCAGTCTAGTGGTTCTACACTTAATGCTCCTTAACCTCCTTCCTGAGGGGAGTGGGGCAAAAAGTGTGTGTGCTGGGTGGGTGGGGTCCTTCATGATGCAGGTGGCCCTCTTCCTGCATCTGGAGGTGTAGATGTCTGTGATGGTGGGGAGACTGATTCCAACAGATTTCTGTGCAGCCTTCACCACTCTCTGCAAAGCTTTTCTTTCTGCAGCTGTGCAGCCTCCATGCCACACATTGATGCTTGAGCACAGGATGCTCTCCACTGCACACCTGTAGAAGGAGGTGAGGACTGAGCTTCCCAGACCAGCTCGCCTCAGCCGTCTGAGGAAGTAGAGTCTCTGATGAGCTTTCTTGATCAGGCTGGTGGTGTTGTTGCTCCAGCTGAGGTTGTCATTCATGTGTACACCCAAGTACTTGTAGCTGGAGACCACTTCCACCGCAGATCCTCTTATGTTCAGGGGGGTGTAGATGTTTTTGTTCCTTCTGAAGTCCACAATCATCTCCTTTGTCTTCTTCACATTGATGTGAAGGTTATTCTCTCTGCACCAGCTCTCCAGGTGTTCCACCTCTTGCCTGTAGCTGGACTCATCATTGTTTGTGATGCATCCCACCACCGCTGTATCATCTGCAAACTTTACAATGTGACAGCCTGGATGGGTAGCTGCACAATCATATGTGAGCAGAGTAAACAGAAGGGGGCTCAACACACATCCCTGAGGAGAGCCAGTGCTGAGGGTTATGGTGGAGGAGGAGAGGTTGTGGATCCTCACTAACTGTGGTCTGTTTGTTAAAAAGTCTAGTACCCAGTTGCAGATGGAGGGGCTTAGTCCTAGTGTGGATAGTTTGTCCATCAGGGTTTGGGGGATCATGGTGTTGAAGGCGGATGTGAAGTCCACAAAGAGCATACGGACGTAAGAGTTTTTCTGCTCCAGGTGGTTGAGTGCAGTGTGGACCACAGAGGAGATTGCATCCTCTGTTGATCGGTTCTCACGGTATGCGTACTGATGAGGGTCCTCGTTGATGTTGATGGTTGTTTTGATGTGAGTCATGACCAGTTTTTCGAAGCATTTAGCGACTATCGGGGTGAGGGCCACTGGCCGATAGTCATTCAGACCAGTCACTGTAGAGCTTTTTGGGACTGGGATGATGGTGGCAGTCTTCAGGCAGGTGGGAACTGTCTCCAGGGTAAGTGAGGTGTTAAAGATGTCTGCCAGCACCTCACAGAGCTGATCAGCACATTCCTTCAACACTTTTCCGGGGATGTTGTCTGGGCCAGTTGCTTTGTGCGGATTAATCCTCCTGAAAGTACTCCTTACTTCTGCTGAGGTCACGCTGAGATGCTCTTCATCCGGTGGCGAGGTGAGTCTGGTGCTGGGTGGTCTGTTCGGGTCTTCAAAGCGTGCATAGAACTTGTTGAGGGCGTCAGGCAGAGATGGGTCTTTGGGGCATTGTTCACTCCTTCCTTTATAATCTGTTATGCACTTAATGCCCCTCCACATGCTCCGAGGGTCTTGTGAGATGAATTGACCCTCGATCCTCTTTGCATATGTGGCCTTGGCCCTCTTAATACCAGCAACCAGCTCTTTTCTTGTCCTACTCAGCTCCTCTGAGTTTCCAGACCTGAAGGCAGTGTTCCTGGCTTCCAGCAGGGTACGCACCTCTGCATTCAGCCAAGGTTTTCTGTTTGGGTAGCTTTTAACATTTCTGATAGTGGAGACTGTGTCAGTACATGTACTAATGTAACCCAGTACTGAGGATGTGTATTGGTCAAGATCAAGCGAACCTCCATTTTCAGCAGCTTCTCTGAAAACCTGCCAGTCTGTTCGATCAAAACAATCTCTCAGTATGGGTCCACTGTCCTGGCTCCAACATTTAACTTTCTTTTGTACCGGTCTGGAGCGTCTCAGCGGGGGCATGTAAGCAGGAGCCAGGAAGATTGAGATGTGGTCTGACAGTCCTAGGTGGGGGCGGGGTTCGGCTTTGTATGCATCTTTTACGTTCGTGTAAACACGGTCCAGCGTGCGGTCTCCGCACAAAATTGATGGAGCAAAAAAACAACAACAGCTGAAAGTAGCTGAAAAAAGTTTAATTTGCACAAGGAAGCTGAAAGAAGCTGAACCAGAACAAAATGTGACAGGAGCAGTAAAAGGTTGTAAACAGATCTAAAGATATGAAGAATGTAAAATGAGACCATCTTAGCACCAACATAACTGGTTAGTTCCACTTTGGAGTAAGCTGTTGGGGGAAGAATCAGTTTTGTGATGTGCGTTTCCTTGACTGATGAAGCCTTCTGGATGGAAGGTGAAACGTCTCAGCACAAAAAAAGAAACTGTCCAGATGACCTGACTGAAAAATGTTGGATTGTATACCTGGATTATTAAGCATGAACTTTGTTGATGTAAAATGAGCTTAATTAATTTTCTATGAGGGAAAAAATGGCAGAAAAGGCTAAATATTTCAAAAAGCTAAAGTTGCACCAATACCAGTAGTCATAGTAGGACTGTCCAGAAAGAGCTGAATGTTTTGATGAAATCGCACAAAAATTGTGGAACGAGAAAGATGCTGAAAAAAACGTACGGAAGAAAGGTGGCTTACAATAGTGTGAATGTTTCACAATAAACTCTGTTTAATGTAAAGATTATGAACAAGATCTACACATCTTATCACAATTTTTTGAACATTTGTGCCATAGATCTTCATTGGTAGATTCAAATGTCTATCAAACATCGAGGATGCGTTTTTGTGAATGGAACAGAAGACAGTAAAACTATGAGAAGTTCCTGCATGAATTACAATTCACCAGTCAGCATAAGGAAATGGATAAATGTCGTAAATGTATTTACAGTATTTCTCCAATCTCTGATTCAAAAATGAAAAAGCCTTAAGTTTGTGTTTTATTTATAAACGGCAGACGGTAAGTGTTCATGTTACTCTGTATTCATTCTGCTCGTCAGTATAGATATCTATGAAAACCAAGTTTAGCTCGGTTCAGACAAGAAGTGGTCTAAACTGGATGTTTATGACAGATTGTACTTGTTGGTACATGCAAGAGATTAAATTACATCACTGAGCAATCTGCATGGAAGACATCTGATAATGTAGCTGCACTTTAAGCTCAGAACGGTCTGTTCTCTCAAACCTTTTTTTAAAAAGACACCAACCAAAGTGGCAAGAACCGTTTATTTCTGCATCTTTCCACAGACATAGCTGTTCCATTAATTTAACTTTGTACTACAATTTGTTTGGGACATTGCAAACTCGTGCTGAAAGTCAGGCAAAAGACGCTAGGAATCAAAAGTTTAGATTGAGATTTTTGGCCTAAAATAACTGTCATAAACTACTTACCTTGTAAACTTTCATCCTTCTTACTCTGTATTGTCTTTTAAGCTAATCCAACAAATTTAAGTCAGGTCCTCTGGATGGTTTCTTTGTGTTGAAACGTTTCGCCCTTCATCCAAAGGACTTCATCACTCCGAGTAGTCACAACAAACAGTTCCATAAGCAGCACACTCTCATAGTGGGCCAACCAGTTTGATGGTGATAAGATGGTTTCTGGAGTCCGCCCTCTCCCCCGTCAACTCCTCCAGTCGACGTCCAGAAACCATCTTATCACCATCAAACTGGCTACTACACTACGAGAGCATGCTGCTTATGGGACTGAGTTTGCTGTGCTCCTCGGACTGATGAAGTCCTTTGGATGAAGGGCGAAACGTTTCAACACAAAGAAACCGTCCAAAGGACCTCACTTAACTTTGTTTGGGTTTTTTTATCTGGATTACTGAGCATGAACTTTGATCTTTTAAACTAATGTTTTCTGGGAAATAATCTGAAAGTAATCTGGTTTGCAATCTGCCTTTAAAGTATGGATGTTTGGATCTTTGCATCCTGTTCATTTAGTCTTTTTGGCTCATTGTGGTGACTGTTACGAAGAAAGGCTTAAAGGACATGTCACATATTTGGAGACTCACCCTGAATTTGATACCAGGATTTCTCGCAGATTTAAAATAAATAAAATTAAAGTACATAAAAATAAATAAAGCTCTGCAAACAGCACACTGTACGTCCGTCATCAAACTATTATACAGCAATGGCCTGGACCTTGTATAACATTTGACCTTGAAGCTGGGGTGATGAAGTGTACGTGACAATGATGCATATGTGTATGACATTTCTTAAATTGTCTTGAGGGGATCAGAAGTTATGATCTGGACAAGAGAACGTTTACAGATATAGAAACAGTGTACCATAATATGTTCTGCTTTTGACAGACGTATAATAAAAGCTGTTAATATAAAGCTGGTTTTCCCTACAACACTATTTTTTTTTTAAGTAAATTCCTAAAAAGTCTTTTTAGTAACAACAATATGAGACCAAAGAAGAGCAGCCTGCTCACCAGAGCTCCCTCAGGGCCGAACATCTGCAAGAAGTTACCGATGAACTCCCTGGATTTTTCCTCCCACTTCTGGATGAGGTCGATGCTCTTCTCCTCCACCTTCTGGACAAATTCTTTGCTTTTCTCTTCCACATCACGCACCTTCCTCTTCACCTTATCCACACGCTCCTGCAGGTGGTACTTCTTCTCCTGGTGTGAGGACAGCGATGAAGACAGATTACTGAAAGGGCTGTCATGAATATAATCTGTGGAGCGTTGCTTTAGATCAGACTTAGTGTTTGAGCGCTGTTCTTAAAGTGAACCCAGTGAAGTCGTACATTGATGAAGCTGACGTTGAGTTCCTTGGCTGTGTATCCTCTCTGCAGGTTGCGTCTGACGTACACATCGTAGTCACGGACTATCCGAGTGATGATGTCCGAGGTGGAAATGCCTTCGGTCCGCTGGGTGGGAGCAAACATACCTGCAAACAGAAAGGAACAAGAGGATAACTCACTCCACGCATATAAAAACAAGATGAGGGTTGATGTTTATAGTGTGAATGTTTATGAGGCATTCACACTATTGTGATATATTTTTCTTCTGTACATTTTTCAGCATTGTTCTTGTTCCACAATTTTTGTGCTATTTCAACAAATCATATATCAAACATTGAGCGTTTTCAGGACAATCCTGCTACGACTTTTGGTATTGGTGCAACTTTAGCTTTTTGAAATATTTGGCCTTTTCTGCCATTTTTTTTCTCTCATAGAAAATGGACTGAGCTCATTTTACATCCTTCAAATCTTTAGATCTGTTTACAATATTTTACTGTTCCTTTCACATTTTGTTCTGGTTCAGCTTCTTTCAGCTTCCTTGTGTAAATTTAAACTTTTTTCAGCTACTTTTAGCTGATTTTTTCAGCAGTTTTGTGTTCCTTTCAGTTTCTTTCTGCTAACTACAACATTTTTCTGCTTCTAACTTCTTTCTGCCAATTTCCGCTTGTTATGCTCCTTTCAGCATATTTATGCGTTTCAGCTTTTTCTGCTAGTTCAGCTATTATTTAGCAGTTTTTATGCTAATTTTAGTATTTGGGAGGGGGGTAATTCCACATTTTTGCACTCATTTCAACTTTTTTCAGCCTAATTCAGTAAAAAAGTGCTCTCTCCACTTCCTTCTGGTAATTTAAGCTTATTTCTGCTTTTTTAGTTACTTTTCAGCAGGTTTTTTTTTTTGTTGCTTCCTTCAGGTTTTTTCCAAATAATTTCCACTTTTTTGCTCAGTTCTGCTTCTTTCAGCAAATGTGTTCTTTCTGCTTTCTTCAGCTAATTTAAGCTTGTTCTACCTTTTCAGCTACCTTTTTAGCATTATTTAGCTTCAGCTGTTTTCAGATAAATTCAAGTTTGTCGTGGTAATTTATGCTACTTTCAGCTTGTTATGTTCCTTTCAGTTTTTTCTGCTAGTTTCAGCTTTTTCCGCTATTTCAGTTACTATTTAGCTGTTTATGTGCTAAATTTAGCTTTTTAAGCTAATTCCACATCATTTGAGCTCATTTCAGCTCCTTCCACCTCCTTCTGGTAATTTAAGCTTTTTCAGCCTTTTCGGCTATGTTTTGCTCAAAATCAGCTTTTTTAGCTTCCGGTAATTTCCTAATTTTTGTGCTAATTTTTGCTCATTTAAACCTAATTCAGCAAATATGTGTTCTTTCTTTCTTCTGCTAACTTAGGCTTGTTCTTCCATTTCAGCACTTTTTTTTTAGCTAATTTCAGAAAATTCTTCAGCAGTAAGCATTCACTGCATTTTTGCAGGAAATGCAATTTCTGTAGTTCTTTTTACCATTAACCAAGTCACTGACATTCAAGTCCCTTCTAGCCACTGAGTTAACACGTTCTGAGTTTCAATTATCGTCTGATGAGTCACACAACAAAACACAAGCAGCCTTAATTTCAAAAGCCAATGACTTACCAATCAGTTCTGCAGAAAAATAATGTTTATTGCCACTTGCAACCAAGTTTTATAAAAAATGTTTTCTCAACATTCAGAGGATTTTGAGTGCAAGTTTGTGCCAAATAAACCACTTTTAACATAATTGTTGGTATTAGCGTTTCAATTTTCAACCGCTTTAGATTTTTGAGACAATGTCTTGCTTCTTTAATCTAAAATCTAAATTGGATAAAACAGATTTTGTATTGGAGAGTTTAGAGGTAAAATGTTATTTTGCATTTAGCTAGAATACCAGTAAAATTGTGTTGGTGTGATTATTTCCAAACCACTTCTGGTTCCTTTCAAACTGACCTGCATCTTTAATGTGCTTGTACACGTCGTTGCTGCCCGCTGATATATACGGGATGTCGTCATGAGCCACAAAATCAATCTGGAGAGGACAACAAATCAACACAGCAGATTCAGATCTACAGTTTGTGCAAAAATTAAAATGCGCAATGCAAGAGCTTGTTAGCGCTTTCACTAAAAGCTTGTAAGTAGTTTGTCCCTCGGCTCAGAAACTAAGTTGTTTTTTCTATCATCCACTCACGCGATGCTTTGCGAGGAACTCTGGCGTTAAAGTCCAGGGAGCGTTTCGCACCACTTCATCCACGTAGCGGCAGTGTCTGATGGCGTCGTATCGCTCGTCCTCGTTCATTACCGTGAAGCCCTTGTATTTGTGGGTTAGCTCATCGCTGCACACTGAATGGTAAAAAAAACATTTACAAAACATTATCGTTTAAAAAGAGACTCGGAACTTACTGACAGCTCAGTACTGCGATCTGTGTTCAGGTGAGCTTTAGCACCAACTGGGAGTCTTTCTGCAGCACACCTGAACACACAGATCTCATGTTGTGTGGGGTTCAGCTGTGAAGAAGTTCTCCATTCTCAATTATTAAACCATGTATGATCTGATCCAAAACAAAGGATTGAAAGCAGCATGCTCAATGATCTTGTTAAGCTTGTATTTCCCACTTGTGCATTTAAATATTCCATTTCAAACAATCCTGTACTTGCATAATTGAATGCAGACACCAATTTAAAACCCAAACTGTTACACTCACCCCCAACGATGAGATGTGTATTTGGAAAGAGGCGTTTAGCCTGCATGAGAGCTCTGGCGTGACCCGAGTGGAAAACATCAAAGATCCCATCTGCATAGACTCTCACTGGTCTGTTAGCTGGGGAAAGAAGAGAGGACACACACCTGGATGGTTCACTCAGCTTTAGCCCATATGTGCAAATGAAACTGAGAAAGAGAACATTTTGATTAAAAAAAAGAAAGGTCATGAGCAAAATAAATAAATAAAAGAAGTTTCAGACTCACCAGGTGTTCCCTTCTTTGCCTCTTCCATGCTGACTCTCTCATAGGGTTTATTAGCAGCCGGCTCGAGCTCATCAGCAAAAGGCGCAGGATTTTTCAGTCCCTAAAACATCCAGAAACATTCCAACTGAGACATGGCTGATGAATTAAAAATTACTTATAAATTCACAGAGAAATTATTGTTCCACACAACAATACAGCAGTTTACTGTCTATAGGAAGAGGGAACAAAGTCAAATCAGCACCAGTTCTGTAACATTCTTACCCGCAGTACAATAAAAAAATAACTCGGTGGTAATCAGAAATGTTCTTTTGGATGAACAAAGTACTCTTCAACAAGAACCTAAAAGCATTTTGGAATTCTTCAGCTTAATGCCATTTGCAAAGATGCATAAAGTCTTTTTAAAACCTACGCTGAAGCGTGCAGCTGACTCACCACAGTGCTTCTGGGGATTTTCATAAGTCTTTCCCCGTCCTCGGTCTCTCCATTGGAGCCTTCTCTTCTTCGTTTTCTAGAAAGCAGCAGCTCGCAGGAGCTTTCAGCCTCCATCTGGGTTTAAAGACAAATGCAACAACAAAAAATTACCATTAATTGATTCACTGCGTCCTTGTACGATCATCTAAACAAGACAGATCCACTCAAGTTTACGCTCCGTCATGCACAGAGCCATGCACAGAGCCTGAAGTTACATAATTTTAGCACCTTCAGTCCAGTCTGGACAGCTGTGGGGTTATGGAGGCCGAGAAATGTTTGGTGAACTTTGACCAAGTAACAGAGAGAACATGGTATGTGCTGTGGCCTCATCACCGGCAGGACAGTTTGTATTGAACTTGCAAGCACAAGACAGCCAGAACAGCTTTACTGATCTTACATTTAATGGTGACCATAAAGTGACTGGGCTGTTTTTGCAAAGATGAAAAGTTCAAGTAAAAATAAATAAATAAATAAATTAAAATTAAGATTTTTTTATTTATTTATTTATCTACCTGTTTAGTGCTTTGTTAAATTAAAATAAATGCAGAAAACAATGATTTTAAATATTTTATTAGGTAAACCAACTGTCCCAAACACAAAGACAATTCATTTAGTCACAAATGTGAATAAGATGGAGGCTGCATTGCAATCTGATCTCAAGAATCAACCATGTAGAAGAAGAAAGGAAAAACAAAGGGACTGTCTTGGTTTGTGAACAGATTTTTTAAAAGGTGTCTATGCCCGTCCTGATCCTTTTCACACATTCAATTCGTCTGTCAGTACACTGCAAAACAAAATAAATCAGCATGGGCATTCGTTTACAAGGTGTCTTGTGTTCTGGGTTGAGGTTCTGCCTAAATTCCACACATTTCTTGACACCACAACAAATTAAACCACGGGAAATTAAAGGGAGAGTTCAACTTTTACTCATGCCACTTCCTTAACTGGTAATTACATAATACTCTTCTAAAAACACATGTAACCCATTTATCATTCAGTACACAGTAATAATTATCTTGGGTTGTAGCTCCGCTGCTCTGTTTGCTTTGAGAGTGTGACTCAGTACAAGTGAAGGACGTAACGGTCCATATTACTGGTGGTGACAGTGACCTGATCCCACACTTGTGCAATACCCCCCTGTTCCTTTTTTCTTGGCAGCAGCTGAGAAGCCCTGCAGGACTCACACCAGATGATTTACACGAGCCACTTCATGGATACCGCCATCTTTGCTTAGCGCAAAGCATTGTGGTCCTGTTTAGGGGCACCTGGTGTGCGAACGAGTGTAAAAATAGGTCGTGGAGATCGCTGTGCGTGTGCAACAATGATCACAGATTTAAGAGCAAGTGAGAATATATGGACAAATGAAAACTTCAGATAGTCACACTGAGGTCTAGTATTAAAGTATACGTCTAGTATTTTACTATAGGTCTAGTATTATAGACAGTATAAGTCTAGTATTATAATATAGGTCTAGTATTATAGTATAGGTATAGTATTAGATGTCCAGTATTATAGTATAGCTCTGGTATTAGAGGTCTAGTATTAGATGTCTAGTATTATAATATAGGTCTAGTATTATAGTATAGGTCTAGTATTAAAAGTCTAGTTTTAAAGACAGTATAAGTCTAGTATTAAAATATAGGTCTAGTATTATAATATAGGTCTAGTATTAGATGTCTAGTATTATAGTATAGATCTAGTATTAGAGGTCTAGTATTAGATGACTAGTATTATAGTATAGGTCTAGTATTAAATGGCTAGTATTATAGTATGGGTCTAGTATTAGATGTCTAGTATTATAGTATAGGTCTAGTATTAAAGGTCTAGTATTATAGACAGTATAAGTATAGTATTATAGTATAGGTGTAGTATTAGATGTCTAGTATTATAGTATAGATCTAGTATTAGATGTCTAGTATTATAGTATAGATCTAGTATTAGATGTCTAGTATTATAGTATAGATCTAGTATTAGAGGTCTAGTATTAGAGGTCTAGTATTATACTATAAGTCTAGTATTAGAGGTCTAGTAGTATAGTATGAATAAAGGTGGCTACTTCTTATTTCAATAAGTGATGCTGAAAACTTGAACATACCGATACATTTGTTTAGTTTATTTAATAACAAAAACAAACACCATGCAGATCACAACCCACAATAAAAAAAAAGCATTTTCCACCATTTTAACAAAAACGCATATATTAACCAATTAATATTTATGCCAAGCATGATGTGCAACCAATGACTTTTTCTAGTCATTTGAGGCTTCGATCCCAACATACGAGCAGTAAAACATCTCTTGACAAGTCTGTCCTTTCTTGAATTATAAATAGGTACATCACAAACCAACAAAAAGTCTTTAAGCTGTGCAACAGTCCAGTTTTCAAAACTTGACAACCTGTCCATCCCCGAAACAATCCCACAAGCCATTGCGCTAGGCGGCGCTAAACAAAGATGGCGGTATTCACAAAACGGCTCGTGAAGAGCAGATGCCAACCTGGCTGCTATAATAGGAAAACAACTAAAATAAACAGCTGTCTCATTTCCCATGACACTTTCATCCTGTGTTTCACAACAAACCCTCTACCTTCATTTAACAATGAAAAAAAAAAAAAGACTTGAACCAGATTCCTGCTTTAAATCATTCCAAATATGTCTCTGCCAGTTAAAATATTTATAAAGCAATCGTGTAAATTCAAAATTAAGTGGAAAATAGACCTTAATTGCTTAATTCTCAACGGATAACATAATATTAATAATGATAGCTTATTTACAAACTTTGAGGCTGCGACAAAAGTTTAAAGATACAAAGTTAAGATTATTAATAATTGAAAATTTCAACCCCCCCCCCCCCCCCCCCACACACACACACACACAAAAAAGATACATTATAACTTAATATTTCGTTACTTAGTAGTCCACAAGTAACCAACACAGCTGACGGAGCAGCTGAACTGGTGACACTGGTTGAGCAGCACAATCGTAAAAAAAACCAAAAACATGGTTTATCTGATGGTTTCAAAAAAGTAGTCAAACGCCAAAAAAATCAGAGATGTAATGTTAGCTTAAATTTAACACTAATAAGATTGTGTCCACTTACCATCCCCGCTTTTATCTGAAACACTGATTTGGAGCAGTGGGCGTTGTAGTTTACGCTGCTAGCTCAGTCGGATGCTAGCTAACAAGCTAGTTATCAAGTTGGATAGCTTGTTAGCTAACTTAAGCCGCTAGCACCACGCAGATTAGCCGACATCTTTACAAGACTAAGTGCGAAAAAAAAAAAACTATGCGGCCGACTCCCGGGTAGCTCCTATATCGGCTCCGTAAACCCGCGACAACAGAGACAACGGACAATGTATTATCTGTGACAGCTTGTGTACTACAACGCTGACAGGTCACCAACACAAGAACTACAAAACTTCGACATCTTAACAGGAAGTAATAGACAGGCGTTTCCGGGTCAGTATTCGCCACTATGAGAATAAGAAAATTGAAAGTCTGTTGGACGCAAACAAAAATAATAATATCTCAAATAGCTTTAAACAGAAAAGAAATGCGTTTTAGTTATCATAAAATTTATATGTAGCTATGAAGTGTCTTTCATTAAGTACACGAAATCCTGTCCTACTGCAGTAATAGTAGTAGTATGTACGGTAGATGGCAATTTGAGGTCAAATTACATATTTCACAGTTTCATTAGATATCTAAGCAGAAGATGAAGCACTTCCTATATATATACATATATACACACACACAAACAGATAGTCAGATGGATAAGATAGACAGAAAATACCACAAATATCAAGTTTTATATACAAGGTTTTATTTTAACAATGTATTATAGATGTGAAGTTTGTTGACGGCAGGTGAATATTTTTAACCAGTATTTATATTTGCAAGGTCAGATGTTACATAAATATGCATACCGGTATATCACATACATAGTTGTAAACGCATGAGAATCGGTCACAGAAATAAAGCAACGAGCTGCGTTATCTGCTCACTTTTATACTCCCCTCCGCTCAGCAGAGTTCAGGTGTCCTTGAAGCCAGTTGCAGCCTTCTGACACAACCATAGTAATAAAAACACAATAAAACATCCATAACCCTTGACTGGAAATTATCTGACATTAATTCTTAATTTTTGCCATAAGCCATGTTTTTTCTGTTGTTTTCTTTTGTCTCTGTTCGCCATTTGTAACCAGTAATCATCCCGGGTGCTTTCATTTCCCACTCTCCCTCCTGCTCACCAGTCCATTGTTCTGAAATCCTTCAGATGTCTCTGTCTTCCTTGTGTTTTCCTCAGCCTGTCGTGTTTCTGTTTCCTCCATGTTCATGTAAGTTTTGCTGCCTCTTGAGCCTTTTGTTTTTTGTTTGTTTAGCCTATTAATAACCCCATTGTTGTTTTAGTTCCCGCTCCCCATGTCTGCCTGCACTTGGGTCTAACACCACCAGACCATGACAACTTTATTGTTTTCTGCATTTTTTCATGTGACTTGTTTTTTTTTTTTTTTGCTAATCCTGAAGAGGACACATAGGTGAAACAGAAGAAGTTCTCTGGCAGGAAAATCTATGTCATTGAGTTTATTTCAAAAGTCGAGGAGAAAACAGAGGAGACTATAGCTCAGATGTATCTGTAGTTGTCTGTTATGTTTTTGGTAACAATAAAAGTTTACTGTGGAAACTGAAACACTTAACTATGCTGTAGCAATTATCTTTATTAATTTATAGCACTGCTTATATTAAAACAAAATAACTCTAGAAAGGACAGTTTCAATTATTTACACTCCTTTAACTGAATGAAATTAAAATACCCAAAACAAAAGCACTGGAAACCTTGAACAATTAAAGCTTATTACAATGTTTAGTTATAAGGACAGTTATAAACTTCTGATAAAAGATTAGTGTGCGCACTTTCATTTTTGATGTAGCTTCAGCTGGAAAAAAGACAAACTATTTAAGTCTTTCCCTGAGATGACTCAGAGCATTCAAAATAAAGCAGATCTGGTGAATAGTCTGCTGGAGAGCCAGCTGCAGACCTTGAATGACCTCCTGGAGGAGGTCCAGGTCCAGACTCTGTGCTTTCAGCCTCCAACATGGACCGCGTTGCCCTCACAGGGGTCACAAAGCTGACTGTCGCTGAATCACACTGTACAGTGGAAATTCTTTGCATGTACATGTACACTGAAGACAACAGGGGAAAATGGTTTCACTTATAGGAATATCTCAAATTGAAAAATTCTACCATCAAGAACTTCAAAAACAGAAGAAGTTAGATTTCCAAGGTTGATATTTTCCAGATTGTTTCTTAAGTTTTTTTACTGACCACTTTGTTTAACTGAAAATGTGTCCTGCAGGCCTGTAAGGATTTGCTGCTCACTACTGAAACAAGTTTTTTTTTTTAAATCCTGGTTAGTATGAGGTCTCACCATGTTTAAGCAGAACGTGGATTAAAACGAAGTCTATCAAAAGAGTGAAATCGCAGCAAATCTTTCTGTTTTTGTGTCCCAACTTATCTGAAAATCTCACGTTTTTTTGTGTTTTTCCTTTGTTACAGATGTACATGCTTAGTAATAAATAAAGTTTAGCAGCAAACATAGTTTTATTTTCCTCAAAGTTTGAACCTGGGATCTTACAATCATGAGAAAACAAATGATAATGATTTAAATTAAATGGTGTTGCTCATGCTCTTGTTTTACTCTGCCCTCCAAACAGATAAATTACTACAAAACTACAAACAAAAATAATAATAATAAAGATGGCAATGACCAGTGGTGCAGTCTACATTTTTATAATGGGCTTACTGTGCTTAGAAACCAAAGTACACTGGTTAGTATAATGTAATCGTCAATGAACATTTCAAAATGTCTCTAATGCTTATATGTGAATAAATGAACAACAAACTTTGTACATTAGTTGGCTTTGTATGAAAAACATGCTATAGAATTTATAGAACAGTATCAAAACAAAACATGTTCAAGTATTAAGTAAACAGAAGTATTAATTCTACATAAAACAGGTTGAAGCAACTCAAAGTATAAAATGTTCCAGATGTGTTTGTTCTCAGGCTCCTTATATTACTGTAGTCTTCTTGTTTCTGTTGCTTTAACCATGTTGTTACTTCCTAGGCTTAAAATGATGAACAGGAGGCCCATTGATACTGATCATCCAGAGATGATTTACCTTTGACGACAATAGAGAAGACCTTTTATCAGATGGATGGATTTATTTTTAAATGTTGTCCTCACAATCTTAGGGTTTAAATTCTCATTAGCTGAAGCCATTGAAGCCTTGGAAGCAGAAAGCTGTGGAAAGAACAAAACAATTATTAATTATGTGTTATAGATAGCCCTTTGAATGACCTCCGTTTGAAAGAGTTTAGTTCTAACTGGATTGATGAGCTAACAGCTAGTCAGAGGAGGCCAAGACTGATGAGAACTGCTGCTATTTAAAACAGATACAGCCTCAAAATATCATAATGGTTCACAAAAATTATACTTTAGGAACCATAACATTGTTGTCCAACTTTTATTGCACCATTATTTTCTTAGATTTCTACAGTAATTTGCAACTGCATATAACAGCAGCAGCTAGCTGTTGCACTGCAGGTGCAGCATGCAGCACTTTACACATCAGAATCAAAATAGTTCTGACTTAATAACTGTGTAACGCAAAACTGACAGCAGTAAAAAAAAAAAATTAGGACTTTTATTTTACCAGGCAAGGTATTAAAGTAGAAAGTTTTGTAAAAAAGCCTGTACATTTTTGTGAATTTGAGGAGTTTAATGACTTTGGTCTCAGCATCGTATCCTGTTAATTCTAACAGAATTAATGCTATTTCTCCAAATTAACACAATTCAATGGGTAAAAAAATCTGCTGTCATGTATCATTGGGCACTTTTAAGTGGGTATTCTGAAATTCCCAAGCTTTTCTAGTGGGTATACTCCGTTTACCCGCGTATCGTGTACACCACTGGCCTAGTTAACCTAATGTTAACCTACGTTTGTAGAATAACATTTTTTTTCCCTAAAATTTGTTTGTATGAGTACAGAGATCTTCAAGCCAAAGTATAATTTCACTCAAAGTCAGAGGAACATCTGCTTTGATAAACGATACTCTTAAGATAACAGTACAGTTGTGACATTACCTTAATATGCACAATAAATTACAGTTCCATACTTTGACAATAGGCCATGCTATTACACTAAAAAAGTAAAATTTCTTAAAGGCCTTTTGCTCAGGGCAAGATAAAAACTTAAATAACAAACAATTCAGAAAAGGCAATTGATTGCAGTTTATCCACATGTCAAACCACAGAATGTCTATTTCATGCACAATAAACTTTTGAATGGGCAATAAAGACATACATTTAAAACAATAATTTATGGGTAACAAACATGTCAAAATGAGTTTTGATATCTATTTATGTTTAGACTGTTAGTCTTTAATTTGTGTACATTAAATGCTGTAGCCTAATTTCTAGCTGCTATAGTTTATCTTTATTTCTTTTTGATGCAGATAATAAGTTGTTGATGCACAAACCGTTTAGTAAAAACAAAAGATGAGGCATTATTTTAAAATGTACAATTGGTCTAAATACAACAGAAAAAAAAGACTTTAAAAAGCGACAACAAAAGATACGACGGAGCTCTATGGCCACGCTAAAAAAAATAAAAAATTACATTGCCACACAAAAAATAAAAATAAAATAAATAAAAATTACATTGCCACGCTAAGAAAAAATAAAAATAAAAGCCATAAAATTACGAGAATAAAGTCGTAAAAAGTAAAACATTTCATAAAAAAAAAAAAAAAAAAACTCGTTTAGCTGCAGGCTCAGATATTTCCCTCCTCTACCGGCAGGGGGCGGTAATCAGAGGACTGCGCCTTCCAGCATCATCAGTCTGCTCCGCTCCTCCATCATCTTGTCCTGGGAGTCAACGTCCAGAAAACTGGCCTCTGTTGTCTCGTTCGTAATTAAACCTTACTTCTGACATCAGGTACAGCTTTTCTTATCCCCTATAAATGTGTTTTTTTAATACAAGCTTAAAATCAGTGAACTTTTGCCGTCGGTTTAGTTTGTTTCATCGTTAGTCTCCTGTAATTCCGCCTGTAGGCCCGCTGGCTGGCTGCCATGGAGATTAGCATGCTAACACAACTAGCTAGTTCGGGATGCTAAAGGTGTACCCGGTGGACAATACATATGTCCAGCCTGTCCTTAGCCGCATGGACAACGTTGTTATGCTGAAATATTAGACAAATCAACGAGTAATTGTAAAAGACGAGGTGAAAAAGGAGCATGCAGTTAGTTCTGTAGTTGTTTTGGGTGCGAGCATCTCAACATCAGCAGCATTAATGGGAGTTATTTAGTTCACATGACACCGTTATTTTAAATACACTCACCTTTTAAAATAACAAATAATTTAAAAAGGTTTAATAACATTTAACAGTATATGAGCTTGTGTGGTAGCTTACATTTTGTGGGTGCCATTATTAGTGAGTTATTTTGGGATGGCTGTGATGAACAAAGACAACATTGTTGTAAACATCTGGCTGATGTTCACATGTGAGCAGTGTGACAGGCTCAGGGCTACAGGCTTAAGTTTATTGACTATAGAAAGCTGTCTAAGTTACAAGAAAGACAAAAGAACAACTAATATCCAAGGAGTCATTACAACTTTTTGTAGAAACTCGTTTTAATGAAGAGTGTTCTGAAATTATCATGCCTTTTTTTACATGCTTTATATAAAATGTATCCATTTGTTTTGCATTTAAAATGTCATGAATTGATTTAAACCTTCCCTCAATCCCCTCAACAAACTTTATTATCAAATCAGCCCAATCAAATTGTATCTTGTTAACAGATAGTAATGGTTGCAAAAATTAAAACTGTAATGATAAAGACAGTGAAAACCAGTTCTCCAGATCCCACCTGTTACCCTAATCCATATAGTTTCCCTCATGTTCCTAAAAAAGAAAAAACTTGCACTAATTTCCCTTCCAAATTACATTTTGTAGTTAAATGCACACCTTGATTTTTAACAACCCTATTAAAGAGACAAATAATGAAATTGTTGAGGTTTTAACTTGGCTTTCCTCACGGCAGAATGTCTGATAAGAGTGAACTGAAGGCTGAGCTGGAGAGAAAGAAACAACGAATCGCTCAGATTCGAGAGGAGAAGAAGAGGAAAGAAGAGGAGAAAAAAAAGAAGGATGTGAGTGATTCTGGGCTGCCTCCTCAGCTCGTGCAGGTTTAGTGATTCTGACGGTGCTCGTGCTTCATGCTCTGTAGGGGGACACAAAGCGTGGAGCTGAGGGAGGCTCCTCCATGGGCAGTGAAGACTCTGATCTGGAGAGGAAGAGGAGGGAGGCGGAGGCTTTGCTGCAGAGTGTTGGCATCACCCCAGATATACCTCACGGTAAACGTACTCTCCTACTCTGACCTTGCACTTAATACCCCACGTTCTGCTCATGTGCTTGGTGAATTTTCAGTCTACACAAGTCTTTCTAACACCTTTCGGCACAATTTGTTGTCACCCTCATCGCTCCCCACAACACACACTAAATATCTACATATGTTACATGTTTTGTGCGTGACACCTAAAACCTGCCTGCCGTTTATGTTCATTCTCTTTTCTCTCCCTCCCTTGTCTCTCCTTGTGCGTCCTTGCTGCATGAAAACTCATCAACTCACTCACTCATTTACACACTTGTTGTGTACCTCCTCCCTCAAACATTCACTGTCTCACTCACTGTGCTCTCGCACTCACTGACCACTGGCAAACACACACACACGTGTTCACAGCTCAACCCCTGAGGGTAGTAACAGAAGATACATGTCTGTTTCACTACCTAGTCCCTGCCCCCATGTCTCCCTCCAACAAATCAGTGGGCAGCGATGCAGGAAGCCAGGACTCTGGGGATGGAACCGCAGGACCAAGGTCTGTGTAATGTGTGTGTGAGACAAAAAGACAGGGAGATAATTAGTTGCTAGAAGTCTCTTTTTTGTTGTTGTTTAGTCAAGTACCTGCATGCAAACTGTGTGTTTTAACTTTGTGATTATATTTTATTAAATTCTGACCTGTCTCTTTGCCTTTTCACCGTCACACTGATGTAACACAACGTCTTGTTCCTGTCTTTTTACTCTCTTTTACCATCCTTAACATCTTCTATGTGCTTCACTTTTTGCCTGTTTTTTTTTTTTCTGTTTGGCTTTCTCTTTCTTTTTGTGTTTTTTTTTTCCTTGTCCCGCTTCTTTTATTTTTTGTTTTTGTTTTACTAACACCATCTGATGGTTTGGCTGTATAAGGACTTTGCATTGGGATCCCGACCCCTCTACTCTGCAACTCCACTCCGACTCTGAGCTGATGGGGTACTGCTCCTCCTCTTTCCTTTAGCTTGTCTTCCAACTTTTCGTGGTTTCATCTTAGATGTGTCCAAATGTGTTAGTACTCTACATCAGATATGTCTGCACACCATTATATTCATGTTCATACGTGGAAGATTTTAGCACTACGTCCAGTTCAACACAGCAAACCCGTCTTCTGATTTTTTAAATATTATGCTTAGATGTGGACCTGTGAGGCTCGGCATGTCCAAGCTGACCCAGGTGGATTTTGTCCCACGGGAAACTGTGTCCTACTCGAAAGAAACGCAAACCCCCACAGAGGCTTTGTCCCACTCTGATCAAAAAGCAGGTAAACAAAGATAAACACATTTTTACAGATTTATTCTTCTCAAACTTTACCAAAGTTAATCCTGAGGAATTTGCGTGTTTCAGATGAAGAAGAAGATGAAGAGATAAGCGCTCCCCCGCCGACAGAGGACACCCAGGAGGACGTAGATGAACACGGTGAAATGCAGGACGATGGTGAGGACAAAACCCTGCGACACATTAAATTATTAAATGCGTCTAAATGCCTTTTTGTTTACACACGAGATATATTTTTAACTTTACAGAACAGTGTGTTGTCTGCAAGCAAGATACTTTTCTCAGTCTTTTTACACTTATTATGTATTCAGACACTCCCAAGGAGCTGACGGAAGAAGAGAAGCTGCAGGTCCTGCATTCTGACGAGTTCTTGTCGTTTTTTGAGCGCGGCAGCAGAATCGTGGAGAGAGCTCTGTCTGAGCAGGTGGACGTCTGCTTCGACTACAGTGGGAGAGACCTGGAGGATAAAGAGGGGTGAGGCACATGTCAGGACAAAAGTATCAGTGCTGAATAAAGAAACCAAACTCTAACTAGAGAGATTACATTTCCTGCAAAAATGCAGTGTGAATGCTTATTGCAGAAGAACTTGCTGAAAAATGGCTTAAATTAGCTAAAAAAAATTGCTGAAATGTAGCTGAAATGAAAGAGCAAGCCTAAGTTAGCAGAAGAAAGCAAAACAAACAAATATTTGCTGAATTAGGTTTAAATAAGCTGAAATGAGCACAAAAATTAGAAAATTAGCTAAAAAAATGCTGATATTAGAAAAAAAATAGCTTAAAGTAGCTGAAAAGACAGAAAGAGGCTTAAACTTCCAGAAGAAAGCAGAAAGAGCTGAAATGAGCTAAAAATGTGGAATTAGCTGAAAAAGCTAAAATTAGCATAAAACAGCTAAATAGTAGCTGGAATAGCTGAAACTAGCAGAAAAAAATTGAAAGGAGCATAACAAGCTGCAATTAGCATAAATAAGTTAATTAAGCTGAGAGTAGCATAAATTACCACAAAAAACTTTAATCTGAAAACAGCTAAAAAAAATGCTAAAACTCTTGCTGAAAAGGCTGAACAAGTTTAAATTAACAGAAGAAAGCATAAAGAACACGTTTGCCCGTCTTGGCTGAAAGAAGCAAAAATGAGCTCAAAAAAGTGGAAATTATCTGAAAAAAGCTGAAATTAGCACAACCCCACCCCCCACCCCCCAACCCCCCAAAAAAACCACACAGCTCAAAAAGAAGAAAGTTCCAGTAGCTTGAGTTAACAGAAGGAAGTGGAGAGAGCACATTTTTGCTGAATTCGGCTGAAAAAGTTTAAATGAGTGCAGAACGTTGAATTAGCTGAAAAAGCTAAATGTAGCATAAAACAGCTAAATAGTAGCTTAAATGTCAGTAAAAACTGAAACTTTCAGAAATAATCTGAAAGGAACATAACAAGCTGAAATTAGCAGAAATAATTTAGAAGAAGCCCAAAAATGTTGCAGTTAGCAGAAAGAATCTGAATGATCACAAAACAGCTGAAAGAAGCTGAACCAGAACAAAATGTGAAAGGAGCAGTAAAAGGTTGTAAACAGATCTAAAGATTTGAAGGATGTAAAATTAACTCAAATTTGTTTCCTATGAGAAAAAAAAATGGCAGAAAAGGCTAAATATTTCAATAAGCTAAAGGTGCACCAACACCAAAAGTCATAGCAGGATCGTCATGAAAGATCTGAATGTTTTGATTTATGATTATTGAAATAGGTTGAAAACTTTGGGACGAGAATCGTGCTGAAAAACGTCTCACAGTAGCGTGGATGCTTCATGAACATTCACACAATTAGACGGACGAGCTGAGCCAGTTTTTGTTTCTCTCAGTGACTTGCAGGCAGGCGCAAAGCTGGTTCTGAACAGGCAGTTTGCAGATGAGCGCTGGACTAAAAACAGAGTGGTCACCTGTCTGGACTGGTCGCCTCAGGTGGGATGAGCTCACACATACAGCACCTGCAGTGGGAACCAGTTGTTAAGTTGACCTGTGTGTTGACCCTGAAGTGTTCAAGAGAATCTGTGTCCTGAAGTGTGTGTGCCAAAAACAGTCTCACATGGTTCCTGTCTCCAAATGAACACGACTCCTGCGTTTGTCTCAGTATCCAGAGCTGCTGGTGGCCTCGTACAACAACAACGAGGACGCGCCACATGAGCCTGATGGCGTGGCGCTCGTCTGGAACATGAAGTACAAGAAGGCTACACCGGAGTACATCTTCCACTGCCAGGTAACCATCGACTTCACGTGAAATTCCGAAATGTTATGCGCCAACATGAATATTTTTATTCAGGGTTTTTATTGTCTTGTCTGCAGTCAGAGGTGATGTCAGCTGGGTTTGCAAAGTTTCACCCCAACCTGGTGGTGGGTGGAACGTACTCTGGACAAATTGTCTTATGGGACAACAGAAGCAACAAGCGGACTCCAGTTCAAAGAACTCTCCTGTCTGCAGCTGCACACACAGTAATCTAATGAAACTCTCAAAGCATCACATCGTTTTGTCTGCATCTTTATGTTTGACTTACTTTTTAATCTTGTGTTGTTTAGTGGTGCGTTTCTAACCGTCCTTTATCCCACTCAGCATCCCGTCCACTGTGTGAGTGTGGTTGGAACCCAAAACGCCAACAACCTGATCAGCATTTCCACTGATGGCAAGATGTGCTCCTGGAGCCTCGATATGCTCTCCCAGCCGCAGGTACGCCTCACCTGAACGGATGACTGCAGATGTGTTGCCGTAAGCAGCTGCTGTTTGATTCGAAGCTGCTGCTGCTTCTTCACAGGACAGTCTGGAGCTGGTGTTCAAACAGAGCAAGGCCGTGGCTGTAACTTCCATGGCGTTTCCTCTGGGTGACGTCAACAACTTTGTGGTGGGGAGCGAGGACGGCTCTGTTTATACTGCATGTCGCCATGGCAGGTGAGTGTTCGAGGGGACGATTTCTTACATCAAATGTCTTAAAAACGACTGCTCTCACAGAATTTAGATGGAAAAGTCTCCATGTTAGGAAGTGGGATCAGCGATTGTCACACGTCTCTTGTGTGTGTGTGTTACAGTAAAGCAGGCATCACTGAGGTGTTTGAAGGCCACCATGGTCCTGTGACAGGGCTGAGCTGCCACAGTGCTGCAGGACCTGTTGATTTCTCTCACCTCTTCATCTCATCTTCTTTTGATTGGACTGTTAAACTTTGGAGCACCAAGGTGAGACACACACACACCTTTTTTTTAAAATAAATCAGACACTACTTCTCGTCTTTTAACTGCATTTTATTACCAAATCTGCTTTTTTTTTTTGCTGCTGCAGAGCACCCGACCTCTGTACTCATTTGAGGACAGCTGTGACTACGTCTACGATGCCATGTGGTCTCCAACACATCCTGCTCTGTTTGCATGTGTGGACCTGTCTGGACGCCTGGACCTGTGGAACCTCAACAATGATACTGAAGTACGCACACACACACATACACGTTTACCATCCAGTATGAGATAAATTTTAATAAAAGGTTTCTTATTTGATTACAATGGATCACAGCACCACCGTGTTCCTGCCGTTTTAAATTTAACGTGTTTTAGGTTCCTACTGCCAGTGTGTGTGTGGACGGGTCTCCAGCACTGAACCGCGTGAGATGGTCCCACTCTGGAAAGGAGATTGCCACTGGAGATTCAGAGGGTCAGGTTCAGGTCTACGATGTTGGGGAGGTAAGATGTCAGCCCCCTCTTTGAATCATTTTCATGAATCCTGTATGTGCTTTCAGTTTAATGAGCTGAAACGTGAGGGGTTTTGTCTCACGCGTTGTCTGGATGTTCCCGCAGCAAATCTGTGTGCCCAAAGCAGACGAGTGGACTCGTTTCGTCAGGACGCTGGCTGAGATCAACGAGAACAGAGACGAAGCTGAGGAACTGGCCAACGTCTGACACTGCAGCTCCTCACCAACAGCTAATAAACTCCTGTACACTACACACCTGAAAGACGTTACGCAACACAGCCAGAGGAGACGCGCCTGCTCCTCGTTTCCAGCTTTTTCTTTAAACACTTTGGCCTGAGACGTGCAGAGCATTAGAGCAGTTTTAAAATGTGTCTAAGAGGTTAGAGGGCACGCAGCAGCAGCTTCTCTACAGAAACCAGTGTTGGGTAGTTTTAACACATTAGACGAGTGCATGGAAGTGATGTTCAGCAACAGCTCTAAACTTTAATAACACCGGGGCTCCACAATCTGATTTTCTCCTCAGACCTCTACCAAGTTTTTTTGTTTGTTACATATGCAAACCTTTGTACTTGCACCTTTTTATTACCGTTTGAGTGTTTCTACATTTGAATATTTTACAGACACATCTGATATATCCTCAGTTGGACTGAATGACAACTAACGCGCTTAATTACTTTATTTATTGTTTTGGTTGCACTTATTTAAATATTTTATGTATTGTTTAAAAGCATATTTGGACTAAGTACTTGAATAGTAGTTTTGAAATTGGCTTTTCAAACTTTGCTTCAGTTTATTGACACCAGAACTTTCTCCTGTAGCCACACAGCCCATGTTTTATACTGTGTATTTGTTGAAAACGAACAGGAATTGTTCTCTGACTTGCTCTGTAAGAGAAATGGTAAATGTATAAAGTTTGAAACGAAACAATGCTGAGTTTGGAAACTATCAACACAGAACCAGGTTTTCCTGTTCATTCCACGATGCAACATCCAACCTCATCATTTGCAACACTTCAAGTTTGACATCGTTTGATGTTTTCTGCATCCAACTGTTCTGTTCTTGTTATTAAAAACCATTAAAGGTTTCCACTGAATAAGAAGAAAATTTAAACGGTTATAATTAAAACCACATAGGTCTTTTATTTCATTAAAATACAATGACTAGATTGAGATACATTTATTTATACCCAATTCTTTGCTCGACTCGTGTTTTACCGAGAAAACACTTGAATTTAAAGTACTGTACATCAGTAAGAGTGATTCTCAGAGACCAGGACCTACGGCCCCATGTTGCCATAACATTAGCATTAGTGTGCAACGATGCAGGCTGAATGTTTCAGGGCTTTGTCTTGTAACATTTTTTCAGTACAGTTTTACAATATGTACAGTATGTAGCCTCCTGGTAGGAGCTGCCGTGAGGGGGGAGGGGGGGCCTCACACACTGTGCAAACCATCAATCAAATATTTTCTATTCCCACTGCCCAATAAGATAAGTCCTACTCATACTGAGGATTGGACAAAAAACAAATCAATCTATTCATGAGACAACAAGGAGTGCCCAAGGGTTCAGTTTTACATAAATGCTCAGAGAAAAAAAAACACAAAAATGGAGTTCCCAGGAGCACACAGCCACTGAAGATACAACACAGTCAGCGCTCCGTTCCTGGTGCTGTGTGCTTCGTGGCAGACGCCCCTCTACGCCAACAGCTGGCCGGTGACCTCTGGAGCACAACTTCACTCTGGACAGAGGAACGGGCTGGTGGTGTTCGCTCCTGCGTCAACAGTCCGTAACGTGAAGTCAGGTATCAACTCTGTGCTTGTGTTTATCTCTGTGTCTGGCCCCTGGGGGGTGGAGAAATGATGTGCAGACATTAATTTTTATGGCGCCGGAGCTCGGCTGGCAGCGGTCGACTCCTGGTGATGAATGGAGACCACGCCGGAGGACTTGAACTTGGGAAGGTGGAGGCCAAATTTATTCTCCACCCCAGCAAATGTCGCCGCAGCCAGGCGGTAGCCTCCGACGTGGTCGGCGTTGATGGGAGGAAGCTCTGAAATGCGAGACTTGGGCGTTGGTTCAGATCCTGCTGGACGGCTGTAGAAAGCAGAGGACCAGAGTCACTATTTACTCTGCAGAACATGTTCTACAATAAGCTCTGCAGCTGAACTCAAGATGTTAATAATAGCTTTTTGTGCAGGGAAGTTTCTATAAAGTCGAAGGCAGCCAACATGAGTTATATGAGAAACAAAACACTACTGATGTGTTAATCCTACTACAGGCTCATGTTCATAACTCAAGTTCTATAATTAGACAAACGCTGGCATGAAGTACTTTCACCTGTAATTTTGACAAAATCTCAACTCTCAATTCAAGCTAGACATTGTTTTTAGTGCAAACTCAATTTGTAAAAACTTTTCACAAAATACCACAGTGGTTATAATATTTTCCTTGTTTTGAAGGAGTGTATTTGTAGTTCTATACCGGCTGTTTATCCTGTATAAAACCAGTCGGTACCTCCTCCACTTCACCCACTGCTCGTGTTGTACAACAGAACTTACTGTCCTCCAAAATCAACGTAGAACCATCGCTGCAGGAGTTCATAGGTCACGAGAGTCACGCCAAACTGAGGGGAGGACCGGCACATACGAGCTGAAGAAAACAAACAGTTTGTCATAGTTTTAATCTTAATCAAACCAAATTAAAACACTGGAATGAATGTATTTGTTCACAAGAACAAACGCACCTCCAGCTCCTTTCCACAAAGCACTAAAGCCTTCCTCTTTCAGAATTTTTCTGAAGCAGTCGACAACTCCCGAGTAAGTCGTTTGTCCTGCTCTTGCCGCGACTTGCAGACGTGTCTTGATGACATCAGCAGGTGTTACAAGGGAGGCTGCTGGGATACCTGGGAAACAGTAAAGTTAACATTTAACCAGATAAATGTAAAACAATATTGTATTTCTTGTTATATGATTACCTAACGACATGAAAACCAACTGTTTCTGATGTAGTGGGTCATTTTTTTTAAGGTTACCTGCAATCGCTCCAGCTGTAAGAAGCTGCAGGGGGCCTAGTCTGCCTTGATCATCGGCTAGTTGAGTTTTAATATGAGCATACACGGGGAAATAGATGGCTGAAAATGGAATGTCCCTTAGGAAGCAAGCTTTAGCACCCTGGACAAAAACAGTAACCCAAAAAAATGAACAAAACAGTGAGAGGGCAGAGCGAGCACCAGTTATTCAGAGGTCGTTCTCACACACAGCTGTTTGCACGGCTGCTTTTACTAGAACGAGCTGCTTGTGCAGCCTGGGCGGACTCTTAACGGTGCATTTCAAAGAACGTTACCTTGTACAGTCCAAAGAAGCCGAGGTCACGGACGACGCTGAGCGCACTGACCCGAGGCCCCGTGGTGATCTCACCTGCTACCTGCAGGCGAATCTTCACAATCTCCAACGGGTTGGTGAAGATAACCTGGGAGCCTCCAGCCTGAATTAACACAAGGATGAGGGTTTACTATAACACTTACCGAGTTCAAAACAACTGCTCTAGCAAATCACACATCCGAGGCAAAGGACTTTTTCTTTTTTTAGCATAGCAAAGAATTACTGTTCTCTGTCATTTCCTAGCTGGGTAACAATGTGCAGGGTCTACGTGTGCAACATTAGACAGAAATAATAAATTAATTAACTCAGTATTTTGTTTCAGGAGCACCTTGTGATTTTATTCACTAATGTAATGTAATGCAACATATGCAAACAATCCAGACTTGTATTCACGTCACGTCACATTAAAGAACAGCCCGTGTGTGACTGATTAACTTTTCATTTCCTCCTCTTGACTTTTTCTCGTGCATTCACCAACAGACAGTAAGAAATTAGCGTGGGACCTCGTACTTACACAGCCGCCGGCCAGAATCTCAGCAAACAGAGGAATTGAGTCATCTTTTTCAGTGAACTTATCTCTTACGAAGTCATTCACCTGTGAAAGACAAACAAGCAGACATATAGTCACTGAACAGTCAGTGGACAGTGCTGCACCATGACCCAGTAACGTTACAGTTACATTGTTTATGCTCTGCTGGAAATACAGTAAGCTCTAATTATCTAGTCATATGGCTTTTATGACTCCTCCTTGGACCCTGCCTTGTGATAAAATAAAATGCGCACTTTTTTTTTTTGCAAACTGAATATGGAGTGGAGAATAACGTGTAAATGAGCAGAGGGACGTACTGTGAGTTTAATAGCCTTCTCAGGTGCCACACCAATGAGCTGAGGAACCAGACCTGCATCAAACCAGAGATTAGGACAACAGAAATAATATAAATAAACATTTCATTAAAAATAGGGAACAAACTGGAGCCTGAGAGGTGAAATTAAAGAGTAATCCATTATTAGGAAAAGCATGAGAACACTAGAAGACGAACAGAACTGGTTTATTATAATAAGCATGATGCAACCTGCCCCAAGTGTTGAATAGAATTAGTCGATTATTAGGCAAAAGATGATAGAAAAACCTTTATTAAAAAAAATCCAGTGGTGTTAATTTAGATTAGGCTCTTAATTGTATGCACACAAATAACTGATGTAAACAGACAGAAGGGTGACACTGCCTACCTCGGTAGAAGCCAAAGAAGCCCTCATAGCGAAGCACCTTCTTTGCACAATCAAAGCTGTTCTTGTACATGAGCTCTCCAACAAATGATCCTGTGGACCTTTGATTCTGCATACGAGTCTTCACCAAGTCGATGGGATACACTGCGGTCGCACCAGTGGCTGCACAACAAAATCGGAGTAAACACAATGCGTCCACAGTAAATACTGTATCTGGTGGGTTACAGAATAATTCACCTCCAGCAATGGAACCCAGAGTGAATCTGTAGGCCGACTCCGCAACCTGGAGCCAAATGGGCCTGGAAGTTTCACCGTGGGACTGAAGGAAAAACACAAATATGATTTGATTTTACAGATAATGTTGATGATACAATTACTGTAAACAACATGAGACGTGCAACAAGAAGCAGTTCTCGTCCCAGTTTAAAGTTCATAAGAATCTTTGACAATCACACCTCTGCTCACCCAGTAATGTGTCAGCAAAAATAATCATTTATTCATCATGTTGGTTGTATATATCCCACCTGCTTTTGGGTTTCAACAAGGTTGTAGGGCAGGCTTCCCTCCTCCAACGGAGCTATCCTTTCAATGTCCGCAAGGTTGAGACGTCTGCAAATCACACAACAAAAGTTATTATTAGGCCTGTCACAATAACAAATTTTGCCGGGCAATTAATTGGCTCAGAAATGATTGCGATTAACGTAATGTTGGTTAATTTGTTTTGCGTGTAGTCCCTTTTATCGACCACCAGATGGCAGTATAAGACTGAAACAAAGGATGGATAGTGAGGGAGCGCGCAGCATGTCTCAAGAAAAATGGGAGGGAGGCCCCTTGATGTGACATGGGCTGTCTCTCCTTCCTTTTTTCAGTTCTCAAAATGGCAGTCGCTCGGTGTGGTTTGAGCTCTTTAGCATAACATTTTTCACACAAAGCTTTTAATTTAAAAAAAAAAAAATTAGTAAACAAGTTCTCAGCTTCTCTTTGCAGAGAAAAACAACTTTTTACACAAAGGCACGGGTTTCAACTGTGAATTTTGAAGCTTCGACAATACGGATGTTTTTTGAAGAGTTCACAGTGTCTTGCCCAGGGACACTTCCAACATGTGACTGCTGATGGAATTGAACCCCCAACTCTCCAGTTGGAGGACGACTGCTCTAACCACTCAGCCACAGCTGCCACAGAGTAAACTCTACATTTTAAAGATTAGTTTAATGAGATCAGTTAATGGTGGAATTATAGTGGTGCAGTTGGTAGAGCTGCCGCCTCTCAGTGAGAAGGTTGCTGGATCGAAGCCCTCAAATTCTCTCCATGTATGTGTGGGTTTCCTCCCACAGACCAAAAACATACATTGGGCTGGTAACTCTAAATTGTCTCTAGGTGTGAGTGTGAGAGTGAATGGTTGTTTGTCTTGTTTGTCTTTGTGTGTCCCTGTGATGGACTGGAGACCTGTCCAGGGTGTCCCCCGCCTCTCACACAGTGATTGCTGGATATGGGCACCAGTGAACCCCGTGACCCAGAAAGGAAGAAGTGGGTAAAGATAACGGATGGACGGAACTGAGTTACCGTAATCAGATTATCAGACTCTGAATGAGATGCAGAGTGAGTTTTTACCCAGAGGGGGAGTGCAGGCCTGATAACTGGTACAAGATGTCTATTTCCATCGGAGTGATCTGACCAAACTTGTTGGCCGCATGAACAAACTCCTCTGCAGAGAGGGACCCAGAGGTGAGAGTGAAACACTGTTCAGAGCACACAAACATAAAACTACAGGACTAAGAACAAGAACGCTTAAACAACACAATGCGTGCACCTTTGGTCACGAGCGTGTCCTTCCGTGTGCCAGCCAGCGTGCTGTAAATCTTGCGGATCAGCTCCATGTTGTTCAGGAGCGAGTTGAAGGCGTTGAAGTAGGAGAAGCTGACCATGTGAGCAGTGCTGCCCCCTGCAGCCTGAGAGAAAGAAAAGGCATACAAGGTCTTCATCACAAGGACATGGTGACATTAACTGATATAGAACTCCTTATTTTTATAGCATGTCCAATAAAATTATTATTTTTTATTTATAATATATTATTACAAAAAATGTGACAAAAATAAAAAAGTATTCATTCCAGTTTTACAAGTGAAGGCATCATAAATGTTATTTTATCATTATCACCACCACCACCATGATGTTTCTGTTTTGTACAGTTGATCTGAACAGTGAGGACTGAGCTCATGAACAAACACTCACCGAGACAAGATTCTCCTCCACAAACGGTGTGAGCATGTGGTGTCTGATTGTGGCCATGATGTCACTAAAGTCCAGCGCAGAGATGACACCATTCTTCTCTTTATCTTTCTGGGCAAAGGCTTGGCGTGCATGCTCCAGCTGCAGCTCCTAAAACACACAACACCTCAAGGTCAACTGTGCAACACAAAATGTCACACTTTGAGACAAATGGAAACAAAATGATTAACAGAAGATGAAAAGTGTTTTCATCTTACCTGCAGGAACTGAGTGAACTCAAGGTAGCTAAGCTGTTTCTTGCGGTCATTCCCAAAGTGCAGACGGATGAACTCACAGTCCCAGTTGAAGGGAATGTGGTGGTGTACCGTGGTCTGGCTGAAGATATCACGTGCATTCTCTGGAGCACAAACGGACAAGGTTTCAGTGCCATAACACATCTTTATGTGCCACACAGAAAGAAAGAAACAGCATGAGTGATTACATAAGTCTAGCTATGTGTAGTCACTAAACAAAAAAAATTCAATTCAAAAATACTTTATTAATCCCAAAGGGAAATTAAATGTTGTAGCTCATCATTCTGGTTTCATTTGAATTGTTATAGATGCTGATGGCTGTGGGAAGGAAGGACCTCTTGTAGCGGTCCGTCTTAGAGCAGATCTGAAGAAACTGGTTGCAGATGCTGCTCTGTCTACTTGGACTTGGTGGAGTTCTCGGTCTTCTTGGGCAGCAGGACCACCTGAATCTTGGGCAGAACTCCTCTCTGAGCGATGGTCACTCCTCCCAGCAGATTGTTGAGCTTCTCGTCATTGTGGACAACCAGCTGCAGGTGTCAGGGGATGATCCTCATCTCCTTGTAGTCACGAGTTGCGTTTCCCACCAGCTCCAGGATCTTGGCGGTCAGGTACTCAAGCACCTCTGCCAGGTAGACGGGGATGCGCCCACGGCACCTCCTTTTTAACTCATTTGTAATTTGGGGTTGTAGCTGAGGCATTATTTGAGCTTTTGAGATGTTAAACAGCTGCTCTCAATTGTAAAAACTACCTTGTTGTCATGGTTACGCATCATAACATGTCCAAAAGCAAAAAGAGTTCAGTAAAAAAATCCTTCAAGCTGCACAACATCTGATATCAGAGGAAATAATCATCCATAAGAAGCGATTTGCATCCAGAAAAAAGAGGAATTAAAGTTTTCAAAAGCAACATCCCCGAATGAAAGTAACAGCTACTCCAACATGCAGCTACCATTAGCGAGGCAATTCAGACCCAAAGAGTAATCTGGTTAACATTGAGACACTGGGAATTTATTTCCCCACAAAAAAAGAAATAACACTTTCTCACAACTTTTACATTTTAGAACATATAAAAATGTATTCTTTTCCACAGCAAGTTTTACTGTTCAAAAATTAAAACTTTAGATGAAGAATGCACAACACGTTCCAGTCTAAATTCAGAAGCATCTGCTTAGGGACAGCACCAAATATAGTAGTCCCTCATTTATCACGGGAGATCCGTACCCTGAAGCTCCGCAATAAGTGAAACAGCGAGGTGTTTTAAACCCTTCCCACACTCTTGCAATATTTTAAACAATGCTTCTAAACTCAACGCTCTTAAAGAGCACAGCATGTCATGATCTCAGCTGTCTGCCTCTGGCTGCACTCTTGGTCACGCCCACTTCTCCGTGCAGAGTGGAGATCAGCGGATCAGCTGCAGGAGGAAGCTTCTCCCACAGTTGTGGGCTGCACACAGGTGCTAAATAATTTGAAATAATTTATTTTAAATAAAAATTCCATGATGATCGTGTGGCTCATCCATCAATCAGCCAATTGTGTGTCATGTCCAATCTTACTTTGAAAAACCACGATAGAGTGAGTCAGCAAAAAACAAACTATGAAGTAGTGAGGGACTACTGTACTCTCAGAAATTCAAATAACGGAAACCAGATCATACCAAAAGAGACGGTGCCAGTTCCAGTCTTGTCAAACAGCTGGAATGCGACGATGAAGAGAGCATCAGGTGCGCACAAGACTGACTCAAATGCAAGAAACTCTTGGAAGGAGATCAGCCTGCAGTTGTGTAGATAGAACAAATGCACTGTGATAATTCAACTCATCATGGAGAACTTAAAAGAAAATTATATAATGAGGAAAAAATAAAATAAATCAATGACAAGCTTATGTGGTACTGCCAGACATAAACAAAACACTGGTTCCACAGGGACTATTTCACAATTTATCATCAGTTGTTTTAAACAGACATTCTTGTAAATGCTTTTGAAAAGAAACACCATACATAAAATAACTTTTAAAATGATACAATAGTATTTTAAATACAAAGACGTTGAGAGCCGACTCATAATGAGCACTATCTTATCTTCAGGTAGCGTTAATGTAGACTACTGATCTGAAGTGGCTCAATAACTGATTACCATTGATAAGCTGGGGCTGTGTGTGTGTGTATATGTGTGTGCGCAGTGATTGCGTCAGTACAAACCCGTCCTTTGTGGTGTCAGCTACAGCAGCGATGAGCTGGACAGTTTTGGGGTTGTGGTGAAGTTGTGTCTGTAGTCCCAGATAGTTCTGAACAAAGTCTCCTGGGGTCATGAACCTCTCTCCATCCTTGTCCACTATGCTGGCATGCTGAGGGGAGCCGGTTGAATGAGTTATATAAATAAGACTTAACCCAATGTTTACAGTAGCTTTGTTTTTAATCCCTCAAGGTGCAATAACCAGTGGTTGGCAGCAAAACTACAGAGTACGACAGGAATAAACTGTAGAAGTGTGCATGAAATAAAACAAGGATTAAAGGTTTGTTTCTTTTTACAATTTTGACTTTTAAATATAAAATTGACTTTATTATTAGGAGTTTGTTACAGCCAAGGATTCTTTTTTTTTACAAAACAAATTAGCCTAGTGGTTTACAAACTCATCTATCCAATAATGAATGTGATACTTAAACTTGCTCATTCGGCACGCTGCTTCTAAACAATCTGATTTAATTACACAGCCTGTTAGAAGGATAGCAGCCCAGGTTTTTGGCCTGAGCTCGTCAGTTATCTGACCCGTGTTGATCACATTCTCATCGTGGAGAAGACGATCATGGAGCAAGGTGTAGGTAAACAGACTACTGTTACTGCAGTCTCCCATTTATCGTCTGTGTGCTGCTGTTCAAATCTTAAAAATGTAACATGACAGCTGCAGCCTGGACTTTCACAATAAAAGCCTGGTGCTCAACATTGACCTAGCATTTAAGGCTTTGAGCTATACAGACTAAAAAAAAAAAACATTACATTTTCCTTACAGTTTTAAACAACTGATGACTTTTTACTATACTAGTTAATAAAGGCTAATCGTGTTTAAATTTCTGACAAACTTGTGAATGTCAAACTTTTCTAAGAGGTGTGGTCCCATTATTATTATTTTCATTATTACCTCTGATCAGCCATATCTAATGTTGATTATGGGAAGTGATGCGTGTGTTTACCTTTTGGAAAATTGCTTTCAGCTCGCTTGGGTCTCCCCGTTTGGTAGATTGCACCTAAAAACAAACATTTAAAACATATACGCTGACCCTTTTGACAATCATGGCATAATATCATTTGACAAGAGGCTACAGAGCAACAAGCGAAACAAGATTTTAAATGAAAAGACGCAGATACCAGAGAAAAGATCAACAAGCAGGAATCGAAACGACAGAAATGCTGCAGCTAACTTCACATTTACCGACCAACAAGTCACAACAGAAACCCGGTAGCAAGCTAACAAGAGACCACAAATGAGCCGAACATCGACTAAAACGAACTTCAAGATTAACAAAAACACGGCTGTCGGAAGCAATGCCTTTGACAAGTCAAAACAGGTAACTTTATCACCGCTGTGCTAGCAGTCTGATATGTTTAGTGGAGTCTAGCTAACTTCGAGGTTGTGGAGGTCTCGAGGCCAGCAGGGCGGCAGTTAGCTCAGTGATGCTACAGCGTCACAACACTCCGCATCCGAGACTCCCCTGACGGACATTTTAGCTGCAGCGACTCCTACACCAGGTTACCGGCAGAATACATGCACACACGGTAACCGAGAGGTTTGAAAATCGCTACGAGAGCGATGCCCAAGTCACCTTGACCGCCATACTTGCTTGACGTCACGCGCAGTGGGTGAGAGGAGGAGGCGACGCGGCGGACGCACCTCTGAGTCAGGTCCGCAGCACCGCGGCTCAGAGGGACGCTGAGCTGCGCACCTTTTTCAATCAGCAAGCGAAAAGGACGAGCTAGCAAAAGTCATGACTGACGGGGGAGTGTGTTCAGGAATATGTGCTTCTAAAATATGGCGGTAGTTGTGTACAAACTGAAGCAAATGCCATGCATCACTGCCCGAATGTAAAGAGGCTGCGGATTAATACAAACCTACCACTCAGTTTCTACTTTGTGCTAATTTAATTATTCATCAATCTAAAATATTCAGCTCATACAGGAGATGGGTGCTGTGACGTTTTGGGTTTTGTAACTTTAATATTAAAAAAAAGAAATCTACCATTATTATAAACATTTTCTCACAGGAATACATGGTGTATTCAGTTCCTTCAAAATATTGTTCTCTTTGAAATCTGATTCAGCATATTTGCTCAACTTTTCTACTCTTATACTTTTCTTATACTCATCTCATGCTGCTGATCATCTCATGCTGCTGATCATCTCATGCTGCTGTATTCAGTCATAACCATCTGCTCACACTGACTCATGTTCGGGCTGCTGTTGTTACGTCGTATTGTTTTACATTATTAGTGTTTGGCGTATATCTTAGATCTTTTAGCGTACCGTTTGGCGCTTGTTTAGCATATATCATAGTGTATATCTTAGATTCTATTGTTTCTTTTTAAACTTTATATTTTACTATTGTTGGGTGCAACTGGGACCCTGTGCACATAAGTTTGTTCCACCTCATGTACCACATGTGATGGAAACGACAATAAAGTTGACTTGAACTTGAACTTGTGTTTTAGCTTATCTTTTACCACTTTTGGGTAGTATTTTTCTACTGTTGTACCAATTTAGAACCAACCTCCAATTTCTGTCCATAAGACACGTTGTCCAGTTTTAAGACTGGGCTTAAGACTTTCCTTTTTGATAAATCCTATAATTAGGGTTGGCTTGTTATGCAGCCGTAGGCTTAGACTACTAGGACAAATGGATCTCATTTCTTAAAATGAATAAATTAAAATTGAATAGTTTTCATTTGATACTATTTTTATATTAACATGTGATTCTCGATCTGCCATTGTGTATCTGTTCCTCCTTCCTGTTCCTCTCAAACCCATCCAGTCAAAGCAGATGGCCGCTTGGTCCTGACCCTCTGCTAAAAGTTTCTTCCTCATGAGGGAGTTTTTTCCTTTCCACTGTCGCCTTCATGCTTGCTCAAGATGAGAGTCTGTGATGAAGTTAAACTCAAAGCAGTCTGCTTTTCAAATAAATGATGTTATTAACTTACTTTTTATTTATGGGAATGTTTCAGTTCATTGTCCTGAGATGACTTCTGTTCTGACTTGGCGAAATATAAATAAACTGAATTGAATTGAACTGTTGTGCTACTTTTAGCGAGCCGTTTGCTACTTTTTGCTTTTACTTTTAGCTAGTCTTTTGCTACCTTTACCTGGGTTTTTTTCTCCCCTGTTTGGCTAGTCTTTTAATACGTTTAGCTGTTTACATTTAGTCAATTTTAAATTTTAGGTAACAATTGCTTTAATTTGCTTTTGACTAACATTTGAGCTATTTTTGTTTTCTAGCTGGCCTTTTGATACTTTTAGATTTTAATTAATGTTTTTCTACTGTTTGTTTTGTTTTGTTTAGATTTTAGCTTCAACTCAGTTTGAACTTCTTCAGCAAATTCAGCCCTCAGCACATCATATATTCACAGAAATGCAGTTTCTCTAGTACTACATATAAATCAACTTTTTAACAATTAGTTTGAAACCTAACTCTGTGACAATGTTTTAAACTAAATTGTACGATGCTGTATTGCTTTTATTAATTTATCATCAGTTTTACTTCCAGGCCTTTTACTGTTATGATTCTGCTCCTTCTTGTTATTAGAGGGAAACAGATCCCACTTATTCCTAATGAGTTATTGCTACTGACCTGATGTACTTCCTCCATGATGTGTCTCAGGTGGAAAAGACCTGTGTTCGTTAAAATTTAAATGGAAATTCCTCCTCCTGGTTTAAAATGAAGCAGCTGTAGTTTAAGCGATCACTCCCTCTGAAAGAAAACTGCTGTCTGGATTCAAGACAGGATCATGATACTCCCACCCCCTAGCAAAGTGTTTATAACTTGTAACTCAATTTGAATAAAGACCCTTTGCTAAATGAATCATTTATATTTTTTTAATCCTTTGTTGGTTCAGTGAATGAGACTGTATCTCACTGACCTTGGTTAATGAGATACACTCTGCTATCAGCAGTATTTGTTTACACTGATATGGCTTTGACCTACTACAGTATTCCAGGCCCTTTAATGTGTAACTTTGGCTAAAAATAGAAGTAATGTCTGCTAAAATGGGAATGCGCCTAAATATCCGAGGTAGGGTTTAGCATGAACACTGGCACCAAAATGTGTTCATCATCATATTACAATAAACTATATATTTATATCCCAGTTTGTAGTTGAGAATATTTTTCTTTGACTCTGGATGCTGTTAAATTTGGTATATCGGAACAGAAAGGACAGGACAATAAAACATGTCAAAACAAATCTAAAAGTCAATCTTTAAGCGTCTTTAACCGTGATTAGCTGGACTCTTGTACTGTTTGAATGTCAATCGGGTTAAAGTCTACGTCACGTGACTACATACCCCTATGTCACGTGACCAAAACAAAAATCATGAATGGCGGCTGTTCGGTGCAGTCGAGGGTTTGTAGCCAGAACAGGTACTGTATTTAAGGTGATATTTCGTTATTCAGATAATAGTCATGGGCGAAGAATGACGAGCTTTCATGTAACAAGATATCAAAACTAGATGCAACAAAAATACGCAGTAAAATACAGCAGCCCTGAAAATATATAGTGTTTGCTAGCTAGTAGCTAGTTAGCTTAACTTGCTGTGCGTGATAAGAGACTCTGAAAAAAAAGACAGATTTCAATATGAAGAGTCACAATAACTGTGTCGCCTAACTGCATTAAATTATACTAAAAACAGTATCAGTGTAAGCAAAAATAGACTAATTTTGTAAGCATTATGGCAGACGTTAAACTACAAGTGGAGCCTTTTGAAGAAAATAATATAACATTTGCTAAAACAAAAATGGTTAAATCATGTCATCTGACAAAATGAAGACATAATTTAACCATTTTTGTTGTCGTCTACCTGGATGATTGAGCTTACAAAAACGTTAGCTACAAAGCAAAGTTTCAAAAAGATCACTTCATATTATTAGAATTATAGATTTTTTTTATGGTGTGATTTTTTTTTTTTTTTTTTTTTTAGACAAAAAACATTTAAAGATAATGATGCAGTATTCTGGTATTTAAACAGGTTCAACATCGTTTTATTTGCACACAAGCAGGATAAAAATGGACTTTAGAAGATTTATAGTTATATTTAGAGTTATATTAAATCTGCATTTACAGTTCTATGTTCTTTGTACCAGTCACACACAATATTGTTTCCAGGCTCTTGTTAGACTTTATTTTAAGAAAAGTTTTTTGTAGCTCAGTTCCTTTAATAATGATAATATTTGGCCGTAAATCTAAACTTTGGGAATGTTTCCGTGTGAACAAACACAACCTTTGATTTAGTTAAGCAGATGGTCAAAGTTGGTGTTTTGACAAAATAATTTCTGTCTCTCTCTTGCACTCCTATGAAATTACAATTATTTTATACCGTATGTATTATCCGAAGCCTCTTGGGCTGTTTTTAGATTTTTTTTTATTTAGCCGAAGGGTTTTACCAGTTACACCATTTGACTTCTCTTCTAAGACTTTTTGCTCAAAAATATTTTTTGTCATAAAAAAATCTAAGACTTCAATACAAAGGAAATTTGTATGGATGTATGAAATTGTATAATCTTGGCCAAAAATTATATATATTTTTTGTCTTTTGTGTGTCTTTAATACACTGTATGTTTTGGAGCTAGATTAATTCGAAACCACATTTTTTTGACTGCAGCATAGGGGCATTACAAATACAAAAGACTCAAAAGTGCGACTCCATCAACATCAGTATTACATCTCTAATTGTTTGCAGTAGTAAGGTTGGATATTAGCCATATTCAGCAGAGGTTCCACAAAACAGGTTTTAACAACTCGAGGCAAAGAATTTTCAATATAAACGTTGAAAAATTATTTAAAACCATGATAAAATTTTTATTAGCAAAACACAGTTATCCTAAGTGGATTATCATTTGATTCTTGAACTTTGTTTCAAGAAACAAACTAATTCTTCTAGTCTAATCTATTTAACCACCTTTGATTGTCATGTCCAGGATGTCTAATAAACTACACCAACACAAAACATGATTATATTTTCTTTTGCGTGGATTATGGGTCACTATGAAAGACTTTGTAATACAGAGAAGGAAGTCAATCTTCTAAATGAAGGAGAAACACTTTGTGTTCTTAGACAAATTATTGAACCTTTTACTAATAAAATGTGTGCTGTTTTTATTTATTATTTTCAGGACTTGGCAGTTTCCAGGAGAAAGTTTATTTTCTAACAAGCTGTGGCCATTACCCGACTCTTTTATGTGAACAACATCGTTCCTTCCTCTGGAGAAAGTGGCAAAATTCTCACAATGTTGTTCGTCCAGCCACTGTTCGACCTGCCTACGCAGTACCCAAGGTACTTCACCTCAAAACATGAAAAGGAAAATTAGGAGCTGTTCATATTTGGTGCTAACATTTGTTCTGGGTAAAATAATTAGAAGTAGATAGCTCTAAGTACAGGTGTTCACACATTACTGGTGGACTGAGTGTATATTCAAAGGTGGTCCAGGACGATTGTTCCCAAACTTTTCAACTATAGACCCACAAAAAAACAGAATAGACTTGTGACCTCAGCTATTGCTGATAGAAGCATAAACATTTTTAAACCAAGTGTGTTGAAAAAGGCATAATAACACAAAAAGCTTTAACAATTATACAATTTGTATTTATTCCCAACCACTGTTTTAATCTTTCAGATGCTGCAAAATATCCAGTTTGAACAAATTTTAAATCTAATTAGATTATTGGAAATCATCTTTAGACCCCCACTTGTTTTTACAACCCACAGTGGGGTCCTGTCCCCAACTTTGGGACCAGTTGTCTAGAGCATTTTATTGTTTGGCAGTCTGAGCAGAAATGTGTTATATAGACCATTTTCTGGCCTGGAGATAATCCATTCACCTCACTGGTTTGACATGTCAAGATGCTAATTGGACAGTATGATTACTGCACAGGTGTACCTTAGGCTGACCACAATAAAAGGCCACTCAAAAATGTGCAGTTTCATCAGGCAGCACAATGCCACCGATGTCACAAGTTTTGAGGGAGTGTGCAATTGGCATGCTGACTGCAGGAATGTCAGTGTTCAGAGAATACATCCAACCGGCCTCACAACCGCAGACCACGTGTAATCTGCGTTCGTTGACCATATCATAACCCCACCGCCACCATGGGTCACTCGATTCACAGCATTGACAGCAAACTGCTCACCCACACGATGACATACATGCAGTCTGCCATCTGATCTGTACAGTGTAAACTGGGATTCATCCGTGAAGAGTACACCTCACCAATGTGCCATACGCCATTGAATGTGAGCATTTGCCTACTCAAGTTGGTTATGATGAAGAACTACAGTCAGGTGGAGACCCCGATGAGGATGACGAGCATGCAGATGAGTTTCCCTGAGACCGTTTCTGACACTCTGTAATGAAATTCTTTGGTTGTGTAAACCAATTGTTGCAGCAGCTGTCTGAGTGGCTGGTCTCAGACCATCTTGGAAGTGAAGATGCTGGATGTGGAGGTCCTGGGCTGGTGTGGTTATATGTGGTCTGCGGTTGTGAAGCCGGTTGGACGCACTGCCAAATTCTCTGAAACCCCTTTGGAGACGACTTATGGTAGAGAATTGAACATTCAATTCACAAGCAACAGCTCTGGTGGACAGCCAGTTGCACGCTCCTTCAAAATGTGCAACATCTGTCCTTGTGCTGTGAGATAAAACTGCACATTTTAGAGTGGCCTTTTATTGTGGTCAGCCTAAGGCACACCTGTGTAACTATCATGCCGTCTAATCAGCATCTTGATATTTCACACCTCTGAGGTGGATGGATTATCTCAGCAAAGAAGTGCTCACTAACACAGATTTACACAAATTTGCGAACAATATTTGAGAGAAAAATAGATCTTTTAGAGTTCAGCTTATGAAAAATGGGAGCAAAAACAAGTGTTGCATTTATATTTTTGTTCAGGGTATTTTGTTTGTTCATTCATTCACTGTTTAAATCATTTATTGTGCAGTGATTTAAATTCCATTATGACTTTAATAAAGCTATTAATCACTTCATTTTAGTCCAGTTTGTTCAACAGCATCACGTCCTGCTTTTAATATTCTGTGTTCTCATTTTTTCCCTGATTCAAGCACATTGTGCAGCCGGACTATGTCGATTCTGGACTGGTCCCAGAATGGCCGGACTACATAGAGATCAAAAACCACGAGCAGATTAAAGGCCTTGCCAGTGCGTGTCAGTTAGCCAGACATGTACTGCAGTTAGCCGGACGCAGTCTGAAAGTGAGAACAAAATCACTGCAAGTCTCCCGTCGACTTCTGTGTCATCAAAACCAACACAACCGTCTCCTCTGTCTTTCAGGTCGGTGTAACAACAGATGAAATCGATTTCATTGTGCATCAGGAGATAATCAAACACAATGCCTACCCCTCCCCTCTCCGATACGGGGGCTTCCCCAAGTCAGTCTGTACATCTGTAAATAATGTGGTGTGTCATGGCATACCTGACAGGTAAAGAAGATTTAGTCACTTCATTTAGACTTACTTAACCAAAACATGTGACAGTGTTACTGTTGAATATACTTCTTGTTTGAAAATAAATAAAATCTGATAATGAGATTTTATAAAGAAGTAAATAATTATGTGTGTCCAGAAGACCAGAATTAACTCTTTTAGATTTTTCTACCTGGATTATTGAACATGCATCAGGAAATTATGTGTACAGTACAAGTAATTCAACATATAAAATGAATTCGGTTTGAAAAGCTGTTTTAAAGGCAAATTAAAAAATGTTTGTTATCTACTCTTAGGCCTGTACAATTTAATATTATAAGCTGTTTTATTGATGTGAAGTATAAAAGTAAAAGCTTTAAGCTGTTTCGAGATGAATTATGTGCATCCTGATTTTCTTTTGACGCGGCTGTGATCTGAAGTCGGAAACTTGAAGATGGTGACATCATCAACGTTGATGTCACTGTAAGTTTACGTTTTGAACCCTGTAACCGTTACTTTAAATGTCTCAGCATCGCACATTACTCACCTCAGACTCATTTTGATAGGTGTATCTGGACGGTTACCACGGTGACACTTCAGAAACCTTCTTGATTGGGCAGGTGGATGAAGTCGGGCAGCGTTTGGTGGAGACGGCGAGGCGTTGCAGAGATGAGGCCGTCGCCGCGTGCAGACCAGGTGCACAGCTCTGCATTATTGGAAATACCATCAGGTATTTCAGCACAACAAATACACATTAAATCTTTAGATACTGCTATAAACACATGGTTTCTGTCACAACCTTTGTCTGTGCTGCTTATAGTGAAATAGCTCAAGCCGATGGGTTTCAAGTTTGTCCCTATTTCATCGGACATGGAATAGGCTCCTACTTTCACTGTCACCCTGAGATTTGGCACCACGGTAAGTTGAATCTCAAGTTAGAGGGCGTGACACATTCTTGTCATATTTTAAGACATTGATCCTCATGTAAGAACATATCCGTGTGTCTTTTAGCTGTAAAAACATATTTAATCATGTGCATGTGCTTGAGAATTTGTCGTAACATAACTCACAAGCCAAAGGTTGCACCGTAAAGTGCCTTCATTTTATTTAAACCTGATTTATTCACAAAAAGGTTCTACTAAATTGTTTTAGACACTTTCATTTAATTAGAAAATATGTTCTGAACATTTATGTTGGCAACAATAAAGACTAAAAGAAACACTCCCTACTGAAAGCTGCTCCTGGGTTTTATTGTGACAGCACCGATCATGCTTCTATTCATGCATTTAGTCGTAGAAAAGTTTTTCAGAGAAGAGCAAATGGTAACAACGAAAACTGTTGTATATATATAATATTTCGGTTGCTTTTATTAGATGTTTGTCTTTGAAAAAATGCAGATAAATTGAGTAATAATGTGATGTCAGTATTACCGCTTAACACAAAATATAGATTGTTTAAAATCTTTTACACTTTTCATAGCTCCTGGTGTTGAGCACGTGATTTGAGTTGCACAAAATCCACGACTTTTTCAATTAAAAGGTTGGATAATATTAGGAATTTTATTTCCAGCAAACGACAATGACGTCACCATGGATGAAGGGATGGCTTTCACAATAGGTGAGGTACTCTTAACAGTGTTTAAGATGTTTGATACAAGTGCATTTTGATTGATGATGTTTTTTAATCCCATGCTGTTAGAGCCCATAGTGATGGAGGGGTCTACAGAGTTTAAAATCTTAAAAGACAAATGGACCGCAGTGTCAGTCGACGATAAAAGGTACCTGTGATTGGGCAACCACACTTCTGACAAATGTAAATAAAAACAGAATGAAATGATTTGCAAATCGCAAACTTATATTTTATCGCCTATGCAAAATAGTAAATAAATCACATGTTTAAACAGACTTTTCAGAATGAAGGTTGTAGGTGTACCAGCTGAAAGGATATAAACCAGTACTGTAACGTGGATTTTGTCATGCAGGTCTGCTCAGTTTGAACACACGGTGGTGATAACGTCAGATGGCGTGAAGATTCTCACCTAACTACCAGAAGAGGACGGTTTGTGACAGAAACCACCGGCGGACTAATTAAGGATCTTAAAGCTATTATTTGTGATAATAAACACTGTTATAGTAGAAACTGGACTGCATGTTCGACACAAAGACCTTAGCTTTTTTTTTTTTTTTTTCTGCTTTTATGGAACAAACATCTGTGTTCATTGTAAGTTTGTAATAAGTTTTAAATTGTATTAATTTTCATCATGAGGACTTGTAAACCTCTTAACAGAAGTTGAACTCAATGTGTGACCGGGCGATCGACACAAACCAAACATTTAAGTGGAAATTATTTAAAGCAGAGGAAAAAACTAAAGCCTTCTGTTTTTTTTTACACATAAACTACATCTATCAAAAAGAAAAAAAAAACTAGATTTGGCACCAGGCAAAGTTGAATATTGTAATAAAATCACAAAACTGACATTTCTTCTGGTATATTTCTAATTACATTTCTAATTTGGGAGGGTTCATATTTTACAGTCAGGTTCAAAGTTGAAAGTTCAAGTCTCTTGTAAATGAGTCCTCGAGGCTCAGTGGGATTAACCTGTCTAAATAAAGGTTGAATGAAAAAAAAAAAAATTCATTACACTATAAAGTTTTAGCAACTGGATATTTATTGACATTTACTCAGATTTTTCTTTTTGCCTCAAAATTGATTTAAAGATTTCTAATAAAATATGTCTCTTTGTTTTAAGATATTAACTTTAGATCTCTCAAAACCTTTTGTCTTAAGGCAACTTTCAGTTTTACAATTTAAAATCTTTGTCCTGAAAAACTACATTGGATCTGTTGCTGGTTGCACAAATCCAGACTAGTTTTTAAAAACTTGCTGTATATTATAAATGTCATCAGAAGATGGCAGCGCATGTTTCACATTCAGTCTGGAGTCGCCCTCTGTAGCAACAGCTCTGCTCCTGCTTTGAATCTTCAAGATTATTTTTTGTAAGCAGGAAAATTTACATTTAATGTATCTGTATAAGCAAGCCTATTATCTGAGATTAGAATAATCATAGTGGCAATAATCTAAACCATTTGGCTATTTGTTTTGGCTGAGCTGAACTGTTCAGAGGGGTTTTCTCTTTGGCATCAGCAACGTCTGAAGTTGCTTCATTCAGTACCTTGAATCACGTTTTATCAGCTAATAAACAAAACAGACAAACGGAATTGAAAATGTGTTGAGGAGGAACATTTTTAGCATTTCAATACTCTTCAAAAGCTCGCCACCACTGAATAACATCTGCACGTGGATGCAGTAAAAGGCAACACGGACAAGTTCATGCACGGCTTCTGCAGGTATTTGGAGACAAGTAAGAGTTTACACAACATTTATGCTTGGGAAAAATGATTAGAGATTGAATGTGGATAATGTCCATGTTGGTGTTTTTATTCTACTTAATGCTGTAAAAATAGAAAGGAGGGGTGAAAACTGGTTGCAGCCCACTGGAGGGTGTTCTTATTTCCTGCCAATCTGCTCTATGAGTTGCTCTATGCATGTGTGTGTGTGTGTGTGTGTGTGTGTGTGTGTTCTTGCCAATAACAGTTTGTGGGTGAAGCAGGAAGGATTAGGCAAACAAAGGTGGATCAGCTGAAGTGAATTCTGCTCATGTTCATCCAGGAAATGAGTCAAGTATTCGACTGATAAGTGAATCTAAAATACTGCGCTCTGTAGTTTTTATGTGATTTCAGGTGCAGAGTGGAAACCTGAGGGGAGTGTGAACTCACTGAATCAGATCAAAGATCATTTTTTATGATCATGCAGCTGAAAAAGATGAGGGAAACGACTGATGAGAGTCCCAACAACCAAAATCTGAAGTCTCAGAGGTTGTGAAGGAAGAAATGGGTAAGAGGGGAGTGTTTAGGGAGGAACAGGGAGTGATTTGGGCTCGAGGTCTGAGTGATCTTTCCTGCCTTTTCATTCTTTTTCTGCAAGTCGGGACTCATTTCTCAACATTCACCCTGCTCTTTATCAGAGAATAAGTTCTTGTTCCAAAAGCGTCATCAATAATAAATATTTTTCATTTAAAAAAAATGTATTTACAATACCTGTTTTGAAAGGGATTTCTTAATGGGATACTTCTAGTAGTTTTTAGCTTTTACAAGGTTTAATAAAGGCTAAAATTAGATGTAGTAGCTGAGAGTCCTTCACAGTACATACAAAAACTCACAAGTTTGCGCTTTAAATCATTTACACCTCTGTCCCTTCCCAGTATTTCAGTAAAACTCTGGCATAAAAAAAGGTGAGATGCATTCCTTTCCTTTGTTTCAAACCAAGTTTTAAAAACGGAACCATCTTGACTCGTGCAGGTTGCAGTCTACCACAGTGCCTGGCTACATTTATCACTTCAGATTCTAGTTTTTTTGCAAACGTGATCAAGTTTTGCTCACATGTTGATCTTTTCTCAGCCACAGTGTGTTTTGGTCCACACTTGTTCTCCAGCTACTGTTCAAACAGAATAATGTGTCACGTTTCTCAGACAATCTCACATTCCAGGTGCGCTACATCTCTTCATTTGTGTGCGAGTCTGCTGGTGTGATATATCGCACTCCTCTGGGACTTCTCTCTCGTGAAACACCACAGAAATTCTTGGTTTCCGTGGTGACCTGGGAGCTTGCGCCAGTAACTAAGTGATGCATCGTTTTCAAACTTGTGCAGGCAGATTTGCTTTGTACACACACATACACAGATGATATCTACTTAGTAATCACTTTGATTCATAAACGCACCCGAGGGCCAAACAAAACAGAGTTTGGAACTGAACGTTTACTGCAGCAGACATGTGGGCACAGGCTGGTGCTGGGTGGGTAAACTGCACATGGAGAGGTTTTTCTTTAGTTTTAGAGAGAGGACGTGGAAATAATACATTTTACTTGTGTGTCTATGTGCGTTTTGTCTCATTAGCTAAATCTTTCATGAGTCACAACAGATTTCGATAAACATTCAAAAAGTAAATATTGTCTTTATATCTACAACTGATTAACATTCAAAGTCAATCCAATTCAAGATGGCTGCCACAGCTAATGGGCAGTAGGCAATGCAAAAATGACTATAATTCAGTCAGTATGACCAGTACTGAGCTAAAATTAGATGTGGTAGTAGCTGAGGGTCATCCACAACACATACACTGAGTGTGACAAATGTGAAATCACGAGATTGTGCATAAAGTTACTTATAAGGTTTTACTAAAATGGCTATAGCCATGTCATTTCTCATGTTTTTTTTGTTGTTGTTGTTGTTTTTAATGAAAACCAATGTGTGTAGCATCAGGCAGCAGGTGCCCAAATGGAAAACCAACTGTTGATAAAAGTGAACACAAAGATGAAACATTACATTTAAAAATAATTTTTCATATTTTTTGTTGGAAAAGAAAGGTATAGTCACTGATAGAAACAAACTAGGAAGTTCCTGGAGAAACTTTGACAGGGACTGCCACGTGACGGTCATTCTAAAGTTTCGTCAGGCGTTTTGAATGGGGAAAAATGGCGTCGTTGTTTGCGAATTATGTCACCATAGTAACTCGAAATGCCAATAAAAGTAATAGCACATATCACAACGTTGAGCAGGTCGTTTTTATATAACATTTGTGGGAGTACACGTTGCGATTCTGGCCACATTAAAGTTGACGGAAGATAAAGATATAAAGTTAAGAAATCCTTGCCAGGTTGATAATAATAGGTTGCTGCCTTTCAAGGCAGTCCCCAATAAACACATACAAACAATAAGTTACTGTCAAAGAACCAGAAGGCATGAATATATTAGACTCCAATCCACTGGAAAGTACTGACTTTAAGCATGAGCCTTGGTAAAAAGGTCCATATAAGATCTAAAACTCTGGCATGGAAAAGGTGGTGGGCGATATGCATTCCTTGAAAGAATGCAAGGCCTTATAATTGTCAGCAATAAGTCTCTTTCGGCTGATCCCTCTTTAAGTGTTGCCACAGCGAGCAAACTCACATGAAAGATTTGGCAATTGTTTTACACCGGATGCCCTTCCTGACTCAACCGGGACTTGAACCGACTACCTCAGGATTAATTCAATTCAATTCAGTTTATTTATATAGCGCCAAATCACAACAAAGTTGTCTCAGGACACCTTACAGGAACATTCACATACATAAAAAACAATTAGTAAAGTTCTCTATCTAAGGAAGTTTAGATTACAAGACCATGGCACTGACCACCAAGCTACCACAGCCATTGTTGGCAATCAGTTGAATTTCTTTAAATTATAACAAAAATATGTCCAAAAGTCTTATCTTGAGACTTCATTTACCATTTTAAAGAAATGTTTGGCTGGTGCGCATTACCAGCTACAATGTAGAGTTTTTTTCTCTGTTTATATGAAGGATGAATTTAAATTAATCTACAAAAACATACAGAGTTTGCGCTTTGTGTGTATTGATACACAGAAACTTGTAAGCTGGGGGGTCCTCTCTTTATTCTGGACATTTCCAAATAAAACTTTCTTGTTTAACTTCTCAACAAAACTACATGAGTTCTCTCTGGAATAGTTTTTATGACCTTATTGTGAGCTTTCAGACCACATGAAAACAAATGACTGCTTTCAGCGCAGTGCAGCGATTCCTGGATGTATGTTTTTAGTTTCTGTGTTTCGTTTTTTTCTTTTCTTCTGACATCTTCCTAGAGCCTAAACAACCAAAGCAGACTGCCAAACTATGAACAGGGGTGGAGTGTAGATGGTATGCACTGCCTCAGGCTTCTTTCTGACTGCTTCTGTTGTCTGCCGAGATTCACGCTCACACACATCACTCAAACACACACAGTGTCTTCTCTTTTTCTTTGGACTTGAGGAAAACCAGTTACACAACTCAAAGCTATACCACCTCAGCTGTAAACATCTCTATATGTGTCTGCAGACTGTACTGGGAGGGGTAGAAACTTATGCAATGGGCCAGATTAATGTAGGAGAAAGACTGTTTAGTTTCCCTGTTTTCAAACGCAAGATGAATTCAACAATAGTATCAACATATGTGAATGTGTATAAATGTGTGTACAGTATTGTACCGTAAAACAAGGGAAGGAAGTCTTCAGGAGCTAAAAAATAACGGAGGGATAGTGAAGGGATTTTGGAGCCAATCCTTGCTCGAGGAAACCATCAGAATCCACTGAGTGCATTTTAAACAGTTCAGTACTTATATTTATGTCTCCCTTTGTTTGTGAATTAAGAATTAGTTCCACCCAATAAAGTGTGGTCCCCTCAGGCTGCAAGAACAAGCCTTTGTGGACGGACAGTGTTGTGTTTCTGACAGTTCAGATGCACTGGTGTGTGTTCAGTCGCAGTCAAGATTACTGCCGGGACGCTGATGAGAGATCTGTTTTATTTGGACTAAAACAGTAGTGCAGCTTACCATTGCTGCTGACCAACTCCAATAAGATTACAGGATGTTTTCCTACAAATAAAT